TAATAAAGCTGACCGGTGTAGAAGACACTGTATGAGTGTGTATATAGGCTGCCCAAAAGATATACATGGATATAGATATCGAGCCCTCAAAAGTCGTGCCCTCAAAAGGTGTGCCATCAAAAGGCGTGCCCAATTCATAAAAAGGCGTGCCATCAAAAGGTGCGCCCATGTTGTCGTCGAGCGTCAAGTGGCGTGCGATGCGCGTGGCTGCCTCGGCTATTTAACCAAGACGAAGGGTGAGCCTGAGGCAGAGACTGAGACAAAAAAAACTGAGAGAAACATCTGAAAAACTCTTCGTGTTCTGAGAGAGAAACTCTGTAATATTCTGTAACACTCTGTTGCCCAGAAAATGGCCTCGTCTTCCCGTGGTCTGCTCACTCTCTTTCCCGACCTCAACGAGTCAACAAGAGAGATAACTGATGTAGTGGCCCGTGAACCGCAACCAAGCGCCTCTGGTTTTGCGCCGTTGAGCTTTCCGATGCGGTCTGTAGAGCAAAAAATGACAGTGCAAACTGATATTGAGGCCAATCAGTATACTTTGAAGTCATGTGTGGAGACCATGACGGCGGTCACAAACCTGTCGCACCAGCTGCAGAGTAGGACAAATGAGGTGCAGCAGTTAAACGCCCAACTGGCTCTGCTCCAACGCATGTATAAGGATGCGCGAGCAGAGATAAGCGTGCTAAGGGCAGAAAACAAGGAGCTGAAGCGGAAGGCCAGTTTTATGTCCCGATTTGGAGGGCCGCCATATGCTGCAGTGGAGGAGCAGGGAGTAGTGATCATGCCCAGTGGAGTGGGAAACACGGAGGCAACACCGGCAAGGGCCGCCCAGGACGGAGGCAAAAAGAAGAGACCGGCGGCAGAGTAGGTCAGTGGGTGGCCGTCTGCAGAAAAGAAAACAAAGCTGTTGTTGTTGTAATTTTATTTTATTTTATTTTTTTATTTTTTATTTTTTTATTTTTTATTTTTTGTGTGTAAAATGTGGATCGGGGTTGATCCCGATATGAATAAAATATGGTTTGGTGTGCAAAGCTATTTTTTAATTTTTTTTATTTTTTTTATTGTGAAAAAGGGGAACACAAAAAGATAAGAAAATAATAAAAAATTCTATTTATGGTGAGGGAGTCGGTGAGGGAGGTGCAAAAGGTGATTAAAGAAATAAATAAAGAAAGAGTGTGATAGATGGATATGGGTATAGATGGAATAAAGGAATGAAAGAAAGAAATAAATAAAGAAAGAAAAGAAGAAAGAAATGGGTTTGTGCAAAAATAGACAGATGTCGTGCAATATATTATAATAAATATAGATATATATAGATTATATTAAAATTAAAGAAAGTTGAGTGGGTTGATTAAAAAAAAGGATTGTGTGTTTGAAAATGAAAAATAAAGAAAAGAAAAGAAAAGAAAGGGAATCATGTGGTAAAAGAAAAAAGAGCTGTGGGTTTGAAAAAGTTAAAGTGAGAGAGAGGAAGTGGGTGGATGAAATGTTTTCATCAGAAAGTGCGATGTGTATATAACTGTTTTTTTTTTTTTTTTTTTTTTTTTTTATTAATTTGTCGAGAGAGAGAGAGAGAGAGAGAGAGATGTATAGGTTGTGGCTAGTGTGAGTGACCAGTCTGTGGCTCTCATGCCGTGTGTAATGTGTGGGTGTATTGAGTGGTGTCTGCCATGTGCATGCGTGTGATGAGTGTCTATGGAGATGTGCTGGATGCTCTCTCTCTTTCTAAACTCGTGTGTGTGTGCTCAATGATGAATAGGTTGCTGCCGTGTGTCTGTGTATGCTGTGTGGGCTGTGGCAGTATGCCTGAGTATGTTGTGTCTGTGTCTGTTTATGAACATTTGCATGGCTGTCCACCTCTCTCCTTGAAACATCTGTGTGTGTCACCCGAAATAAAGAGAGCTCTCCTATGTTTCTTTCAAACCAACACCCAACAGAGGTACCCACCATGGCAGAGAACAAGCCAACAGAGATCAAAGACTTGCAAATTGTTGTTACAAACAAAGATGATGATTCAAAGAAGCAATTGGCACTCATTAGAAGCTCCATGGCCTGAAGTGATGGTGTTGTGTCTGCTCTCTCTCTCTCTAAACCGTGTGTGTGAATCTGGAGGGTTCTTCCGGCGGAGGTGGTGGGGATCTGGCGGGTTCCGCCGACGGACATGGCGATGGCGGGGACAGTGCCGGTGCCGATGGCAGAGATGATGGAAGGCTCGGCGTGATCCAGCAACCACCGGATGGTCTCGCCGTCGGACTTGTGGCGGAGTTCTAACACCAAGAGAGGACTGAGAGACTAGCCCATGTGTGTGTGTCTGTCTTTCTCCCTGAATTTCAATACAGAGAGAGAGAGTTGAAGATGCAGCGAAGTGAAGGTACGTGTAGAAAACTCCAGCGGGCAGTGAAGGCAAGGTTGCCGGCCGACTGCCCGCCGGTGAGAAAGAAATATAGGCCTAAATCTTATAGCTCTGATACCATGATAGAATTTAATGTATAAAGAGAAATAGAAAATTGTATAGATATTGATTGTATTATTGATTGATGTGTTATTGTATATATTACAAGGAGATGTGCACTCTCTTTTATAGAGAGGAAAAGATACATAGGGTGCCAATTAGCACCGAAAGCATAAAGCAAAGGGGGAATACTCATTATGAAAGCTAGACATAATGATACACTAACAATTATGGCTAACACTGCTAGATGTACATAACACTAATATACTAATATACAATAATATACTAACAATAATAATGTGGTGTTTTGCAGTGAAACATTTAAATTCATTCACTCATTAAAACTTTACATATCAAAGGTTTGTTTACTACCTTTCCACACTGAGTCTGAGGTGCAAGACTCAAAATACAAAGTTCTCCAGGCCCTGGTATCCAAGCTAGCCACACAACCTCTTTATAAACAAAAGGGAAAATATATGATATGCACCCCTAAAGAGTGCACATTGTAAGAATGGCGCTTTTTTGTGTCAAATAAATAGGTGAAGCCAAAGCCTTCATACTTAGTTGCACATCTACGGTGCACATTTCAACCTCAAATCATTAATTGACTTGTTTATTGATGAGCTTGATGATGGAAATGATGCACAGCATTTGTTTGACTAATTGGACAGATATATACATCACCCTATATTATGAGAAACACTCTGCTACAGTAGTCAAATAATAAGCATAACATGATGCATTCATCTTTACTAAAATTTAATTCATCATTTTCTCATTCTTTAATCTTAATTCAGTATCTATGCAACACTCATTCTGATTTTCTGGGGACCGCATGATGGCATTGGCAGCTAATTCCCCATATCATGATAGTTACGTTATTGGTAACCATTAAATGTCTGATTTGGATGGCAAGTTAAAATTATAAGATCTATGCAAATTTGTTTATCCATGTAAAAGTATACTAAAATAACCATCTTCTTCAAATTAGTTTGGACAGTGATGCAGCATTTTTTAAGCAATATTACATGACCTCACATTGAAGATATTTCGGAGGTTAGTAAAATCATAATAGAAGACACAGTTGGTGTTGGCTTGAGGAGTAGGCTGTTTAAGTGCTTGCCTAAGACCTTGAGTATAGGAGTGTCACACTTACTATATCTTTAATATATAATATGCATTTACATAGTGATAGTAACGTTTTTGGACGATAAACCATTAAATGTCTGATTTGGGAAGAAGTAAAAATTATTAAATTTATACAAATTTGTTTAGTCATGTAAGAAGTATATAAAAAATAACCATCTTCATGTTGGTTTCTTATTAGTTGGATAGTGATGCCACATTTGTTTAAGCAATATTATATGATCATCACCCACATCAGAGATATTTTGGAGGTGAATGGAAAGACAAGAGCTTGTGTTGAATAATAATACAGTCAATTCAGATCAAATGAAGGGGTGTGCAAGCAATGTCGACTGCAAGAGGGGGATGTTGAGGTTGGTTAAGAGAGTTTGATCCTTTGCTTGAGGCTTCCCTTCTATTCTTTTGCATGTCAAGAAAATTAGAGGACTTGATTCTCTTCCCTATACGATTTATTATGTCGCATGTAAGAAAAAAACCTCTCTAACTTTTAAGAATAATGTTAAACCAATTGGGATTTGTACAATTCTATCTGGTAGATCAGGGAGTCACTGCTTGCCAGTGACAAAAAATTGATTATTTCTCCCCATAGTATGGGGTTGTATATAGTTGTTTATTTCTTCCCAAATTTGGCTTATTTCCGGTGATTGTTTGGCTTGGCATGTTGTTTGTAGTTTGTTGTTGAATTTTTATTATCTAGTTTGATGTAATTTTTCTCATATTTGTAATTAATGATTGAACCCTCCCCCCAAAAAAAAACAGAAAACAAACAAACAAATAAACAAAATTATGAGACATTACAACAAAAGTAACCTATGATAACGAAAATAGTAAGGAAAATAAATTTCGTCACTAAATAAGAAGAATAATCCGTGACGAATAGACTACTAACTTTTTCTCCCTTTTTTTTTGTTTATTAGTTTTCCTCTCTCCTCTCTCTCTCTCTCTCACACGCACATACACACAACAAAACACAAGTTAATTAGCTCTTTGAGTAACCTATGGTGATAAAAAGTAATGAAGAAAATAAATTTCGGTACTAAATAAGAATAAGCCGTGACGAATTATAAAATTTTGTCACATACAACAAAAAAGTAAAAATAATAGGTGACAAAATTTATTTTCGTCAATAAATATTTTTTTTAGGCGAGAAAAAATTAAATTTTGCCACCAAAGGTTTTCCTTCTAATTTTTTTGGATAACGCCAAAATTTTGAAACTTTTGGTGAAATTTTTTTTATCACCAACTATAAAATTATTAGTGAAAAATATATTTTCGTCATCAATAATTTTAAACATATATATTTTTAAATTTGATTTTAAATATTTTAAAATTATATAATGAGAAATATATTTTCATTGTTAACAATTTTAATATTTTAAAATTTTTGATGGGAATTATGCTTCCGTTTTCTTTTCATCCCTCTCTTGCAAAACACAAGTTCTCTGTGCCTTCAGGTCCCCCTTCTCCCCCTTCAGCGCTGTCACCCACGTTACCCGTTCTCCTCCTTCAGTGCCGCCACCGACGTCACCTGCGTTCTCCTCCGAGCAATCGTCAGTGCCGCCGGCGTCGCTTATTCGATTATTTCTGTATTTTTCTCTTTTCAGGTATGGGTCCTCTGTCTCTCTCTCTCACACTCAATTTCTCTGTTTTTCTATCTTTGTTTCCCTAATTTTCAAAACTAATTTCGTTGTTTTCCCTAATTTGGAAAACTACTGAGACACGCAGTGTCCCGTATATGATTTCTTCGGACTGGTTATGAAGAAATGAGTGCTTGAATATAGACTTGTTAAGTTAATGACTCGTTCATGTTATTTGCTTTATATGAGTGTATGAGTGTATGATTCAATGAATAGAGTTTATTCACAATTCGCTTTATATGAGTGTATTCACAGTTTATTCACAATTTGCTTTATATGAGTGTATAATTCAATGAAATTCAACTAATGAGTGTATGATTCAATGAATAGAGTTTTTTCACAATTTCCAATTTGGTATATCAATTTAGCTACTTGAGACTTCCCAGAGAGTTGGTTCCCACGGAGCCTTATGCACTAGGTATGACTTTTTCTTCAGTAAGTTAAAAGAGTGGAAAGTGGAGGATAGGTATCTGAAACTCAGGTATCGCTACCTCGGGTAGGGCTTGCATATTGAAATGTCTCCTACAACACAGAACTCTAGTTTCTGTCAAGCAAGCCAATCATATACCGGTGTATGAATCTTGTGCCCAGAAATTAACTGAATACATGACATTAAACACATTTTGAATGTTTGCTTCTGAAATTCATTCTCAAAAGTTTCTCCTCCAGTACAGAATCTGGCTTCCATGTTTCTAAAAGCCTCACTGAGAGCATCCAATTGAGGCTATAAGCACAACAGGGAGCATTTACATACTGTAGAAATTGCAGCAAAGCCTTAGATTTCTGATCTACTGCCCAATGCAAATATATGAAATTCTTGTCAGAAAGTAACAAACTTCAAGAAAAATATGAAAATGAGTAAAAGAATAGAGTACAATTATAATTCTTAATAGTTTCAGTTAGATTTAAACATTAAAATGCTATCAATAAGAGTAACATCAAAATGCTATCTATTTCTCCTTGAACTTGCTAAATCTATGTTTGATGTGTTTTGATTTCTTGAACATTATCCCTTAGCTGTTTAGTTCCACGCTTTAAACCAAAAAAAAAAGGGTAAATAATAAAGGTCCTAGAGAAAGCATTCCTTTTATGCAACTGTTATAATACTTTGGCCAAAAGGCCAATACCATGCTTCATAACTCCCAAAAAAAAAAAAAAAAAAAAAAAAAAAAAAAAAAAAAAAAGAGACAAACCCAAAGAATATAAGACACTGGAAACTTAGAAATTACCCAACAACATGAGCTTCAACCTCTTGAATTTTCCTTGTGTAATACATGCTATTTAATATCTTTGTTGGCACTTCTCTCTTTTCAATAGAATATATCCACATTGCCAAGTACGAAATACTTGGAAGTGTAAGAACAGATGTGCATGCACATCAAACACACACCCAATTGGTGACTCGATCAAGTCTTGTCATCAATTCAACATGAAAGAAAACAGTGTTTTGTGTGAGTTTGTCATAAATCTCACAATCCACATTGGCACAGCATGACAGAATACCATTTGAATATGCATTTTTTTTCATTCACAAACGAGTTCATAAAACACCATTACAAAAGTCTGCGAAACATTCTTATCCTTCAACCTGCTATAGGGACATAATATCTGAAGCAGTAGAAGAAGCTAAAAGAACACAAAACCAGAAGGCTACTATTTATGGGCATTGTTCACTCAGTGCCCAAGGCAACCTCTAAAACCTAGTGTTTTTGTTTTCAGACACTTAATGTTTTGTTACACCTTTAAAACCGAAAAATCACCATATTTAACCATTCTTCTAGCCTTTTGAATCCAATTAAAATCAGCTCTAAATGGCCCTTTCCAGTTAAGTTTGGCCTCTCTATTAGTAGGAGAATATTCCTACACTTGTGCTACATCAGTTTGGCATAAAAGGAAAAGATCCCATTGTTTAGAGCAAGTTCTAAACATGTCTATGCATTCCAAAATATATATATATATATACATATATATATATATTTTAGAGGGATATTTCTTGAGAACCATCAAGATGAGATTCTTTTTAGAATTATGGAGCAACTTGATAGTTTTAGTGATCAACATAATGCTATAGAAAGTCGACCAACTCAACATAAGGTGATAAGCAATCTCATTATTGGGTTAAGAAAAGGTCCAATTGAAGAATAGAAAACTTCCTGAGGAGCACTAAGGTTGAAGAAAATTGATAATCAAAATTCTGTGTGTTTCCTAGATTAATAAAAATAAAAACAAAAAAATAATGATAAATACTAGGCCTTCACAATGAAACTTTGTTTGTGGTGCACTAAAAAAGTTTACTTATTTATCTTTTTGTCTTTTTTGAATTATATCACCTCCCTATTTTTTTGTACATTTTTTTGTTGTTGTAAAAAGTCAAAAAATACACGTATTTAGATTATCCCGAACAACCCTTCACGGGTTAAGATTATATATAATAAGAGTTTACTAAATTAAATTATAGAGATGATAAGGCTAATAATTTATTATACTTATTAATATCATTAAATTATTAGATTATATAATTCTATATATATTATAAATATAATATATATTGAAGCGGTCGGTTTCGGTTTAGTTCGGTGCATAAGATGTTTGAATCGATACTGAACTGAAAATCGAAAAAATTAAATTAAAAAATTGCACAGACCGATTCTTGTCAAAAAAGTAAGACTTTGCCTTAGTGACATCATTATAGAGGCTTATGGTAAATTCAGACATTCCTAGCAATGGATAGTCAAAAACCCTCTTCAATTATAACTAGTTGAACTTGTGCGAAATTATGAATTAAATATTTAGCCTGCTGATTCAATTTTTTTATGTTAAATTGCTTTGTCTATTTCCTCGTGTGATTTATGTGTGGTTGTCATTTGTATAGCTCGGTATAATCATTGAACGTCAAATTATTTTTTAATTAAAATTTTTATTTTTGATCTATTTTATATATAAAATTTTTCCAATTCAGCTAACTTTAATTAACTCATTATAGTCAGACATCGACAAGAGTTGGATTGCACTAGGTTGCACAGTTGATGGAAGGATAAGTCAGCCATATTTTGATGGGTTAATATCATTTCTTCATTTTGCAATGGCGGTTATTGATCGAGATGGTAAAATTTTGTGCCCTTGTCGAAAATGTGTGAATGTTGTTCGACAAAATTTTCAAATTGTTCAAATTCATTTGTTGCAACATGGGATTATTTCAACTTACACTATCTGGCACATGCATGGGGAACCCCGTGAATCAAAGTGTGGACAGAGCTTGAGCACCCACACCTACAGACTACGAATAAAATACCTGAACCTTAAGAGTGCTAAGGGAGAGGAGTATGCTAGAAGCCACCCACCGCCTGAATGTGACCTCGAGAAATGGAAAAACTTGATTGAAGGGAAGTGGAATGATACCAATTGGCTGGTAAACTTTTCTTATATTTATTTATTGTTAACAATTATCTTGTCTTCCTAATATATATATTTTTCTATTGGAACTTGCTCCTTGTAGAAGCAATCAAAAGCTAACATTGACAATAGAAAACAATTGAAGACGAAGCATAGATGTGGGTCAAAATCTCTCCCAGTTAGGGTACATAAGGCAATGCGTATTCTTTAATTTTTTTTTACTTTTTTTTAAAGATGATTCTACTACCATCATTCTTATTTAACTTACTAGTTGAAGAACAAAAAAAATCAGACAATCACAAATGGGGGCCAACTGCTCCACACACTTTAATGATGTCACAAAGCAATGGATTTCTTCGGAGTGCGAAAAGAATTATGTATGTATATTTACCTTTTGTATTAGGATGATTACAATTTTTATTGTATCTTTATTCACTTTTCTATTTTTTTTCTTTTTAATGACAGGATAATATGATAAAGATCCAAGCTGAACATTGCTTCCAACCTAGTGTGGTTCCAACTACTCCGGAGGAGCTATCTGTGAAGTTGCTCAAGCCAAGGTCGGGATATGTTAAAGGACTTGGGTTGAGGCCTTCCTTCTCTGTCAGGACTACCAGTGCTTCAACTGATATTGATTATGTGAGGCATCTACAGATGGAAATACAAGAGCAAAATGAGGAAATTCAGTCACAAAAAGAGGAAATTACAACACAGAAACATGAAATTCAAGCACAAAAAGAGGAAATTCAAGCACAAAATAATGTGATAGGAAAGATGAATGAGTCAATTGTGGAGCATTTGGACATGACATCAAGCATCATGGAGTTTCTTAAGAAGCAAGGTTTCAAAGGACAATTTAGAGGATGAGGTATCCCATGAACTTGTATATCTCCTTTTTAGTAAGTCGCGCTTGTTTTATTTTTTTATTTTTCTAATGTTGGTTAGTATATACTAGTTAAAGCACAGCAGTTTGACTAATTGTTAACTAAAATTTAACAAGTTTGAAGATGTATTTAATGAAAACAGATTCATTAGTTACTTCTTATTTAGCATGACCCTAGTTAAAATACACACTAACCAAAATAGAGACAAAACTGTGTTTATTTTTTTGTGTATTTTTGCTAGGCAATGTTGGAGTTGCTCTAAGTTAGTGATGTGATTAATAGGACTTGCCATGTAGAAAGGAACTTCTGATTATTAAGCTAGAGTCATTGAGTACACAATTTGTATTGACATTGATAGAGCTAGTATTTGGAGCTATTATTTGCTAGCTTTTGATGTCCCTGTAACTCAGCTTTTGATGTCCCTGTGGATAATTTTCACTTGAGAACCTTCATGGAGATATGCAAGCCCCTTTGCTATTCCCAATATGATGTCGAATTGCTGCTTCCAGCTTAGAATTTGAGTCTTGTTCTTATTTGCATGGAATAAAAGAGTGTCGCCACTTAAAGATACAATTGAAAAAAGGTGCAAGGATATCTCAGCTTTTGCTTTATATGCTCGTCAATTATAATATAGCCAAAAAAAAAAAATGGTTACGAGTTTCGGAAAATAGAGACAAAACTGTGTTTATTTTTTTGTGTATTTTTGCTAGGCAGTGTTGGAGTTGCTCTAAGTTAGTGATGTGATTAATAGGACTTGTCATGTAGAAAGGAACTTCTGATTGTTAAGCTAGAGTCATTGAGTACACAATTTGTATTGACATTGATAGAGCTAGTATTTGGAGCTATTATTTGGAGCTATTATTTGCTAGCTTTTGATGTCCCTGTAACTCAGCTTTTGATGTCCCTGTGGATAATTTTTACTTGAGAACCTTCATGGAGATATGCAAGCCCCTTTGCTATTCCCAATATGATGTCGAACTGCAGCTTCCAGCTTAGAATTTGAGTCTTGTTCTTATTTGCATGGAATAAAAGAGTGTCGCCACTTAAAGATACAATTGAAAAAAGGTGCAAGGATATCTCAGCTTTTGCTTTGTATGCTCTTGTCAATTATAATATAGCCAAAAAAAAAAATGGTTACAAGTTTCGGATTATAGTCATGTGAAACTACATAAGGGAGTAGGATTAATCTCATATAGATAAGTTGATGCTAAAAGCAGTAATAGTTAAAGAGTTTTTTGGAAACTCTTAAAACATATAAGTAGATGAATGGCAAAAGGAAAGCATGTTTGTGTGGTTTGTTATGTGCTATGATTATATGAATACATCTATAATTGCAATTTTGAGTGAATTCAATGATCCTTTAATTTGTGTAACAATGCAAGTTACACAATTGAGTTCAATTACACAAATCTAATGATACATGGGGTCTTCTAAATATTTGAAGAATTGTAAAAATGTGTATTTTATCGCAAAAAGATGAAAATAAGCCAGAATTTAAACAATTTAGTATTTTTTATCTTTAGCCGAAAGCAGCCAAAATTAAAAACCAAAGTAATAGCCAAAAAAATCATGAGTATGTTTATAAATAAAAAATAAAAAATTTTGGAGCTATTGTTGGGTACAAATTCATAAACAATAAGGCATTGAGGGGCTTCAATGGTACAACCCAAAAGTTTTACAAGGTTCTTGTGTTGAATTTCACTAATCAAATTTACCTCATTGAAGAAGTCATCGACTCATTGTCGTGAATCAACTATACCTCAATACTACATTATATTTTGGAGCTATTATATATATTTTGGCATTAGTGATAGTGATATATGGTATTCCTGCAATCTTTTGGCATCTTATGTGATCCGTGTTGCTTTATCATCAAGGATCACCTCAACTCTTTGAAGTTTTGGATTGTTACATGCATTTCTATTAAATCGGTTTATAAAATAAAATTATTTATATATGAATTTAGATGTAATTGATAATGTATTAATGTTTTCCTTATTTATTTTCTTTGCAGATTGGTTTTTGATGACGTTTGGAAGCATACTCGCAAATCAAGATCAACTGTTGAATTTTTTTTTTCCTGAATTGATACTTAGTTCTAGTTTCAAATCAAGATTGAGCGTTATTATTATTATTATTTTTGTGAACTCTACGTTAGTTCATTTTGGAATTTGCCATGATAGTTTTTTTTATTATACTTAATGGGTTATTATTAAATTTGTTTGACGGATATATTTTCATTTATAATATAAATTGTTAGTAAATTTTTTTGTGGAGTAGTATATAATAGCTAGTGAATTTCTTAGTACATTTAAAAGGCTATTGTGATATGAGCAGGGATATTTGTGAAATAATAATTTAAATTGAAATATAAAATGTGGAACAAGTTCAGTGACTAATTTTTTTTGTCATTTGTACTTGTTATTATGACAAAGTGATTATTTGTCGCTAATAAACATTTTTGTGACAATTTATTACAACTTATATATAAAGTATTTTATTGATTTTGTTGTTTGGTGACTAAAAATTTTGTCAAATATATATATTTTTGTCACGAAATATATTTAGTCACCCATGTATGACTTTTGGAGATGAAAAATGTCATCAACTTTATATCTTATTATGACAAAATTATTTCCTCATCAATGATCAACATGTGTGACTATTTGCTTTTTTGGCTTTCGAAGGTTAATAGTGTAAATTTAAGCATGCCAGCAAAAATCAATAAGTCCTTACAGAATTTATAATTGTCAATCAATTATCAGACGATTGTGTTGAAGTTTTATCAGCCTCAATGAAAAGACTTTTACTGGTGGTTTATTTTAGGAGAAATTTATAAAAAATAACAAGTACAGAACAATTCAGAAATTGAATTTCATTAAATAAATACAAACTTACAATGAAATGACCCAGCTTTAAGAAGGTTTACAACAATGATTACTTGAAACTACTCCTAGGAAATGAAGTACAGTACAAGAATTGAAGTGCTAAAAATGTAAAGAACAGGATATGTAAAAACTGGAAGGAAATACGAAGTAAAATAAACTGATTTCTAGATTTGAGTCTGGGTCCTTGCAATGTAACTATGAATGGCTATTTATAGGCAAATATTTGTAGGAAAAAACTTCCAGCAATAACTACTCAATAACCACCTAAAACTACCTACTCTTCTATCTTCATTCTCACAATGCCATATGTCCCTCTATGTCTTTATAACTTCCTTTAACCTCCAATTTATGCTCCATATTCTCTACTTTGTCCTCCATGTTCTTCCACATTATGCTCCATGATCCTCCACATTGTCCATCATCTATTCATATTTCATAACTTTTCATAATCTCCAAATGAGTAGAAGGATGCCACATGTCCTGCAATTATATAAATAATAAAATTTACAGATTTATGGTGCTAACATTACCCCCCGCAGCCCTTAAAAATGATGTTTGCTTGAATTTTTGAATGGCTGAACCAAGCACATGACTAATCTAAGCAACAAAATGCTTCGAATAATATCAATAAAGTCCTTTGAATGATATAATAGCACGAATAAAGTGCTTCGAATGAGTATGAAATTATGATTAGATATCTCGAATTTTATATATATATATATATATATGCCTTGAAGGAATATTATATATGTACTTTGAATCAGCATCAATCCGTTGAAGGAAATTAAACAATTTTATTTTACTCGTACTTCAAACACTTAGAAAACTTGGAACCATTTGAAGTAGGTTGATGTTGCTTGCACTTAAAATCATTCAGAACCTCATAATTATAAGGCAAAGCCAATGATTCACCTTAACAAGTTGTTACACATGCTAAATAATATCCTTCGAAGGTCGAAGGTGTCTCTGACAAAGGACGAATTACGTCCTTGGAAATACTCAGTAAAGTTTCGAAGGTTCACAACCACCAATTTTGTTTCTTCAAAGCTATTGTTGAGGCAAGACGGAGTGCTTCGAAGCCTAAAAAATTATGGCAAAAAGGCTTTTGAAGCAACTTTTGGCCAACTTCGAAGGTTCACAACCACCAATATTGTTTTTACGAAGCTGTTGTTGATGCAACATGGAGTGCTTCGAAGCTTGCAAAATTATGGCAAAAAGGCTTTCGAAACAACTTTTGACCAACATTGTGGTTATTCAAATTTTGTATGTTCTGGTTCATACATAATTAATGAAAATATTAATTTTATGCTTCGAACCAATTATTAATTCTTCAAAGATACCAAAACCGTTGTTCTTTGAACCAACTTTTGTAGAATACTAGTTATATTTTCATGTAACAAATGGCTATAAAAATGTTTATCAATGAAGCCACTAATTATCATGCCAAAAATAGGCATTATTTAACAATTAATTAATTGTCATTTTACATATATTTGAAGGGAGGTACACATTTCGAAAGCCTTCTCGTTCTATGTTACATTTCGAAAGTATTTGTTGATGACAAAACTACCCTTCGAAAATCACATAAGTTACTAAAGGATCGAAGCCGTTCTTCGAGAGTGCTCACGACATCTCTTCGAACCAAATCCAAAGAGTTGGATTAACAACCCTCACATGTTCTTAATAACATGCTTCGAAGTGTCTTGGGACATGCTTCGAGGTAAGCACAAAACCAAATGGTGATGGTTTTATGGATCAACTAATAACCATATTTTTGGCCTAATATATTGTAATAACGAAATATTATTTGTTAGCCATTCCATCAAAGTCAACGATTGATGTGATTCACAAATCCAAAATGGATTTTAAACAACAAAAGTCATGGTATAGTGTAACCATGAAAATTCATACTTTTTGACACTTTGAAAAATGTCAAAAATTTGAATTCATGAACAGTGGCTTATTCATTATTCTTGACCATGTTTGGTTTAAAAACATGACTTTTGCTGAATTGATTTTCATAATTATTTGGCAAAGTGGATTGTTTTTCCATGTTAGCCATTAATGACTTATGAAAATCTCCCACAAGTATGTTATTTTCCTGACTTGACTCTCCAAAAATTGGTTTTTGGACTCTCCGAGCCATGCATGGAACATCATCCTTAGCCAAATTTGGCTCAAGAACATGCTCTTTCGCTATGTTAATTTCATATAGGGAAATTACCCACAGGTCCCATGTGGAACATGTGGACACTATTTAATCCCATAACTTTTTGGGTACACCCAAAAGTCCTTTCCTCCATCTCTCTGATTTTTTCCTCCCTTTTTACGTTTTCTTCTTTCTCTTTTTTTCTACATTTTTCTCTCATCGTCTTCGTCATAGACGATGGTGCAAGTATTCATGTCTTTCTCCATTGATCGGGGTTCACTGATAACCGCCAACCATCGAAATCAACTCGTGATTTCACTCTCACCGACGGCGAAGATATATATTTCCGACGAAGAAGATGAGTGGATCTACTTAGATCTGATGTAGATCTACTCAGATCTATCAAATCTGAGTAGATCTACATCAGATTTGGCTAAATCTAAACAAAAAATAGTTGTCGGAGTATAATCCTCTCTCTACATCCGCCTTTCTCCTTCAATCTCTTTTTTTTTTCTCTGCTATACACTTCTGTTTTTCTGTTCTAATAGGGAAAATTTTCAAATTCTGAACAAGTAGTTTTCGAGTTTTAGTTACAGGCGGTGAAAATTGTAAAATTTTGCAGTTTCAAAAATTTTTTTGGTGCTGGAATGAATCATGGTTTAAAACTGTAAAATTTTACAGTTTTATAACATTCTTTAGAACTGTAAAATTTTACAGTTTCATAACATGCTTTTTAATTTTTTTTTTTCGGCAATATTCTAGACATTCCGGTAAGTCTTCGGCGACCGTTAAATGGAAGTCCGACGGTAGTAAGATGTGAACAGTGTCTGTAAATTAAAAAAAAAAAAAAAAGATTTTTTGGTAACAATAAAAAATGTATTGGACTAATTGGTGCAAGTGTTTTGTTTTGGGATTAGCTGGATCTTGAACTTGATACATGGGACTTATCAGTAAGTTCCCCATTTCATAATTTGGCTCTTTAAAAATGGGCTCTTGAACCCCCCGAGCCATTGATGAAATCAACTCTTTACTTTTGTTGTTTTCAACCATAGAAACATATTTAAAAAATTCACTAATTTTGGCCATTAAAGCCTCAGTTAAAGACTTGGTAGTGAGAGTTGACTTTTCATCATTCCATTAGCAAATTTTCAAATCAAGTTGATGAATTTCTCCAATTAAATGGTATCTTTTTTCTTCTACCAAATAATATTGTAAGCGATGAAAATTTATTTCATCAAGAAAATGGATCACTTCTTGAAGATCCAAAATTTTTCTTTCACGCTAATGTATTTCATTTTGACAAATTTGAATAGCAAAATTCAATTCGTTTGTCATTTCTTCTTTTATGCCTTCTTCAAGGTGCTCATTTTTTCCTTGTCATCTATGTCTAGCTATTATAATAGTCCCACTGGGCGTGCCAAAAAATAGATATTGGTTTTTTTTCTTCTACAAAAGAAAATATCATAAATACAGAAAATATCATAAATGCCAGTGTGCCAGCAAGGGTTGAAAAATCCTTACAGATTAAATTCAAGCCAATTATTAAGCGATTGTGTTAAAATTCTTTCACCCTCAATGAAGATGACTTTCACTCGTAACTTGTTTTGGGAGAAATTTATAAGAAATAACAAGTACAGAACAATTCAGAAACTGAATTTCATTAAGTAAATAGAAACTTACAATGAAATGACCCAGCCTTGAGAAGGTTTACAGTAACGACTACTTGAAACTACTCCTAGGAAATGAAGTGCAGTACATGAATTGAAGTGCTGAAAATGTAAAGAACAGGAAATGTAAAAACTGGAAGAAAATACCAAGTAAAATAAATTGGTTTCTGGATCTAAGTCTGGGTCCTTACAATGTAACCATAAATGGCTATTTATAGACAAATATTTGTAAGAAAAAACTTCCAGCAATAATTACCCAATAACCACCTGAAACTACCCACTCTTCCATTTTCATTCCCACAATGTCACATGTCCCTCCATGTCTTCATAACTTCCTTTAACCTCCAATTTATGCTCCATGTTCTCTACTTTGTCCTCCATGTTCTTCCACATTATGCTCCATGATCCTCCACATTCTCCATCATTTGTTCATATTTCATAACTTTTCATAACCTCCAAATGAGTAGGAGAATGTCACATGTCCTGCAATTATATAAATAATGAAAATTGCAGATTTATGGTGCTAACAGTGACAAATTTATTCGTCAACTAAAGTTATAAATATGGTACTAAATAACTATTTCATGACGAAAATGAGGATTTTTGGCAACAAAATGTTGTTTTATTGGTGACAAACAATTTCGTCACTAAAGTAATTTCATTGGTGACGAAATTATTTTTTCTTACGGCGCTTTTTAGTGACAATCATTTAATGACGAAATCGCAAAGGAAAATATTTCTTCACAAATATCTATAATGACGAAATTAGCTCTTTGGGAAAAAAAAATTGTCATTCAAGACCCAACTTGTTGTAGTGAGAATAATATTATACATAAACAGTTTTCTCCCTATTTTCCAATCTGTAACTATTTATGCCAAAATTTATGTAGTTATAGATTTGTGAACATGATAACCAAATTCCTGTCAGTGACAATTGGCTAATGTATTTTTTTTTTTTTGTTAGCAATTATTTTGGACAGACCAGTAAGGAAGGGTTGGAACAGATTGTGGAATCAAAAAATGTATGAATCTGGGAGGTTGGAAGACAGCCATCCACAGTGTCACTGTGCGCAGCATGATGATCAACACAGTGCGCTCAAGCAACTTATTATGCATCAAGATTTTATATATCAGCTATTCATATGCATCAGAATTTGAGACTTATATATCAACTGATACAATCTAATGTCGACCAAAACATAACCATTATTGTTGAAGACACATATGCATACTAAGACCATGAGATGCATATACGATGGCCGCCACACCACAACACACCCACCTTATGGCTCATGGAAACGCTGATACTGACACCTCAGCAATTATATATATCAAATATGAGACAAGAGGAGGAGAAATGGGAATAGGGGCCCAAGTAGTTAACACCAAATCTGATGGTCCAGGAGGAGGACTGAAGAGTAAAATTAAGGTCCAAAATGCATGCGAAGAAATTAAATAATCCAATTTCAATATTAATATACAACCAACTGCCCCAGAATGCTAGTTTTTTTATTTATCAGAAAAATGAAATAAAATAAATAAATAAAAAGAAAGAAAAGAAAAGAGATATGATGGGGGAATCACGTCTCTCAAATATAAAAGAGGACAAAGGGAATGAAAGCAATGCCAATGCATATACTCATCAAATATTTGATGGAAGCTTGTCCATTGGTTTGGGTTTGGCCATATTATATGTATCTTTGATTGTGAGATTTTTACTTAATTCATCAGAGCCACTCCTTCTCCAAGAAACTGAGAGAACAAAAGATGCCTCACTTTGTCAAATGTTCACACCCAAAAGTAAAATAAAAATAAAATACATGAATATTGATGCATCCATCGCAACAGTGAAGATAAATGCCTTTGCATACATATACACAATATGCTTTGTAAGTTATACATTCTTTTTTATCGGCCATCACAAAGGAAAATGCTGCAATAAACATCTTTAAAATAATATATATGGTGTCTTTTTTTTGTACTTACACTACAAAAATTCATAATATTAATAACAAAATGACATAAATTTTCACATCACTAAATGATATAAATTTTTTCACCACAAAAGATTACAAGAATTATAAAAAATCATAATTAGTTCTCTTTCATAATTACACCACATTAATTTATGACACCTTCCAAATAGAGGGAGGAACTGCATCATGAAGCAGTGATAAGACTCAAAACTCAGGCATCACAAAATTCACCCATATGCACATTGGGGTATGTCACTCTTTTGAAATGTAGTGTACAAGCTGACATTTTTGAACTGAAGAATTTAAGAAGGGAATTGAGACCACGGTAATTCAAACTACAGATATTGTGGTTGGCCTTTTGATAATGTAAATGAAATCATAAAACCCAAGTAAGATCTGAGTATCTGTATTACCAGATATTGGCCATTTGTGGGTTCATGGACTCTTTAATACTAATATGGCTCCCACCATTTCCTCTGTAAGCATTTAAAAGAAAATAAGCATGTTACAAGATAGCAATAAACAACCAAAGGGAAACAACCTTGTCCTCTTTTCTTCCTCTTTGAGAATGAAAAATTAGGACCTATATTAGCTCAAAAGATATTTTTCAACCACTTGAATCCTTATGGGACCGATCCATAGCAAGAAAAAATACTCAAGAGGGATGCATAAATGAAGAGATTTGTGAACATTCTGCAGATCCCTCTTTTGATGCCTAAAAACTAGAAATGTTATGAAACTAAGCTCAAAGTTCTAAGCATTTGCACCATATTTTAGGCCAAACCATGAAAACAAAGAAAAATCTAAAAACGGAAGAACCTAGAACCACAACTGTTTGTTGAGATATCTTTACAAAATGCTGTGTTGAGTGTGCCTAACAACATTCTGATTCTAGAATATATACGAAACTAATACAACTGAGAAAATTTAGGTCACCGAGTAGGTGCAAACAGCACCCATGCAAGATTTAGAGCTTGTCTTCACGTTGCAACAAATGGAATTGATAAGTAGCATGTAGTCATCTGTACTGGCTCTAATCTTTCTTCAGCCATTTGTATGCTGTTGAATGCAATTTCTATATGTTGGCGTTGATGATAACAAAATTGAGTAGAACATGCTGAAACCTATTACACTGACTGTACAGCATTCATGACATATATATATATATGTGTGTGTGTGTGTGTGTGTGTAAACCAGGATAATTGCATGTCATACCAATAAAAAATTAGATCTGAAAAAAATAAAGCATAATACTAAAAAATAGCTCTTTCCAGTAAAACAAAAATCAACCCCATTCCAACTACGAAGCCAGTTCTTGGTATTAAAAACCAACTTTGTGACCAAGTTTTGTATTAAAATCCAAATAAAGCTAAATAATACTAAGAAAGAACTAATAAGCAACTCACTTGTTGCTAGAATAAGACAAATCTGTAAGTGCATTCCAGCTAGTGCAACAAAGCACAACCAGAAAATATTTTAAAATTGATGAAACCAGTTCTTAATCAGTATTAACATCAACTTAAATTGTGATCAAGATTCATATTAAAATCCTAAGATAATTTCATGATAAGTTAACAAATCTGCAACCCAGTTCCAGCTAGTGTAACAGACAAGCAAAATCGTTCAGTCATTGAATTTCCTCTTTCTTGTTTAAATATTGCTCAAATGGACCAGCAAACCAACAATTAGGCACAGAGAACATCAAATCCTCAGTAGGAAAATCTTTATCTTTACACAAATGATAAATTCAGCTTTTTGCAGTGAATTTGATTTCAAAAAAATTCATTTATAAGATTATAAAACACGCAAAGTGCATCAACATTTTCTATCTTCCATCTAGAATTCTATGTATCCTCCAGTAAACTTATAAATTCTAAAAACCAGAAGAATAAACCAACAAAATTAATTAATAAAATTAACATGTAATATAAATCTAACTAGTACAACACATCATCAGGAATTTCAACCTTAATTCTTATTGAATTCCAAATTTACATAGACAGTGTGTTATTACCATTAATTTAGGTCACATTGCACCAGCAGTCAGCAATCCGAATATCAGAAACTCCTATAAATCATCGAGCCCTTCATCTCTACCCCTGCACAAACAATAATAATAAATAAATTCAAGGCTAATAATCTGAATATTCACAACAAAATGGACAAGTCATCAAACAAAATGATAAAAGAATTGAAAATGTTACCTTCCCTGGTTCGGGTTCTTCAGGAACTTTGTATGTATCTGGTGTTACTTCTGTCAACCACATACCCGGAAAAATTGCCTGCAAAGAAATAAAAAATCAGATCCGCACAAACTCAATAATTAACTCTGTACATCTATATAAAAGGCAAGAAGAAGAGGATGGATTGTTGCTCCTGAAATTGAATTGCGAAAGGTGGAAACGAATTGAATTTGCTCTTAGAGTTAGCATTTCCAATCCATCATCAGGTTTTTAAGGATAAATTTGGAATTGTTTAAAAGGATTTGATGGAAAAAAAAAAAGAAGAAGAAAGAAAAGAAAGAAAAAGAAAGAAAGAGAGAGTAAACATTGGAGTGTTTCATATGATATCAAAATTTCAACAATTTTTTACTCAAATTTGATGAAAAAAAAAGTAAGGATTGAAGATGATCTTACATCTAATTGAATTGCAAAAGGTGAAAACTAATTGAATTTGCTCTTAGAGCATCTCCAATCCATCATGAATTTATTTTTATTTTCTTTATCAAATTCAAATTTGATAAAAAAATGGCTCAAAGACAAGTTTTTCACTAAATCAAGTATGAACCAAATCATTCACCAAATTTTCAACATTGGAGATGACTTTCTTATATAAAAAATGATTAAAAGAGGTTTTAGGATAAATTTAGAATTGTTTAAAAGGATTTGATCCAAAAAAAAAGAACAACAAAGAGTAAACATTTGAGTGTTTTATATGATATCAAAATTTTAAAGAATTTTTTACTCAAATTTGAAGAGAAAAGAGAGCGTAAATAAAGATTGTATTACATCTATTTGTCTCTGAACTATCTTAGGTCTCTTCTTGGGCCTTCGAGGCGGTCTAATCCGAGCCATCGCCAGAAAATCTTTCTCAATCTCTTCTCGAGAAAGCGAAATCGAGAACTTAGCTCTGGGTTCCTTCTCTCTCTTCTCCACAACAATCTGCATCTGCTGCGTTGTCATCGTCATTGCGGTTGCCGCCTTTCCTCCGCCGCCGGAGTCGTTGGGGGCCTTGCAAGCCGCTCTCCGAGTCCTCAAATTCCAAGGCCGCGCCGCCGAATTGGAATCCTCGAGCTCCTTCTCTTCGAGAATGGAGTCCTTGATCTCATCGGCGGCGACTCTGAGATCGAACATGAGCTTCTCGCGGACCGCCTCGATTCCGTTGCTATCGTCAACACCGTCGATAATCGGCGGTACATTCGACGGAGATCTGGGCTTGATCGTTTTGGAGCCGTCCGATTGGGAACCCAAATTGTCGATTTTCATGCATCTGAGGAACCTCTGGTTGCCCCATTTCAAGCGGGGCAAGGCGAAGTTGTGAAGAGGCCTCGATCTCCCTGGTTCTCTACCCATTAACGTCTACTCTCTGTCTCTCTGTCTCTCTCTATAAATACTCTATTTAGAAAGAGAAGAGCATTGAATTGCAGAGCTTGAGAACGCAAAGCTTGCTCTCTTTCTCTCTCTAGAAATTTTGTGTGATATGAATTGAATTACATGTTTGGAGTTTTGATTCAGAGGAAGAGAAGGAGAAGAAAATAAATTTTACCTTCCTTTTTTTGTTTTTGTTTTTGTTTTTATGAAAATCGCCGGGAAGTATATATAGGAACGAGAGAGAGAGAGAGAGAGAGAGAGGGGTTTTAACGTCCGTGTAAGGTTAGGATTTCTATGGCCAAGTGAGTTCTTGTTAATTCCAATAATATATACTATCTGTTTATTTTTTTGAGTAAATTACGCTTTCTGATGTTAGTCCAATTATATTTGAATTCTTGACGTTCCGAAAATTATATTTTTATTTGTGTTAATAGTTTTATTTTATAAATTTTTACTTATATAAAAAATAATAACTTCTAACAAAAATAAGTAATGTTAAAGGTCTCAAATATTTTAACAATTATTCTACCAAATGTCTTATATAACTATGAGACTCATACTATATGAGTCTCATGTGAGTCCCACGTGAGACATTTAGTAAAATATTTAATAAAATATTTAGCATCCTTAGCATTACTCAATAAATAGAAAAATATAAGTAATTACATTGGAAAAAAAAACAAATAAAGAAAAAAAAACAGAAGAAGTAAAACAAAATAAGAAAAAAGAAAATGTATGAGTTCAATGTTTTCATTCAGTCTAAATAATTACAATGATAGAGAGCTAGTGTAACTTTTCAAACGTTAGGAGATAATGTGTATTAAATCCAAAATAGGAGCTAGTGTAATTTTTTAAACGTCAAGATAATGTGTATTAAACCCAAAATAGGAGCTAGTATAATTTTTTAAAAGTCAAGAGATGATATGTATTAAACCTAAATCTCAAAAATATAAATATAATTTACCCTTATTTTTTTAGTTTGTTTTATAACTAAATAAAATAAAATAATAATAAATGGCTAAAACTTCTCGTTTCAAGCCCCATTCTAAAAATTAAATGAACAAAAAATTTGAATTCAACATCACCTTATGAGGTAAATATTTTTTTTAAATTTTAAAAATATTAAGCTTGTTTGGGCACCATCAAGTCCATGGTCATTCTTAGACCATCTGCAATGATTTACCAAATGATTCATTAAATTTAAATTTGTTTAAAAAAAACTCACTTTTTGCTGCATCAAATCATTCATCAAATTTAAGATTTCTCAAATCTTTCATTAAATTGAGAATGGATGTGTCTTTCATCAAATCATTGTTCATATCTATTGAATTTTCACCACCGAATGTCTCCTGGATAACATCCGCTCGGTCATCCGTCCAGTTGATCGGTTTTAATGAAATTTTAAAAACTTCTGTTGGAACACTTGATATCAAATGAAATTTTTATTCAAATTTGATGGGAAAAAAAAATATGAACCATTGGAGATACCTTTAGGGACAAGATAGAAACAAGGTAGAACAAATTAATTTTATAATTTTAATAATGACAATACCAACAAATATTTGAAATATATAATACATTAATAATTTACAATGAATGAGACTTAAAAATATAAAATGATAAATAAATTTATATTAAAATAATAAATTATGTATATTATATGCATATAATATATTTACTTAAAAATATTACGTACATCTCTAACTATATTTTTAATAATACTTTAAATTATGTATATTTTTTGAAGTAGTTTGAATTCAACATTGCCGATGGGCTTGAACCTAAAACTTACATTAGCACTGTGTGTCTCAAGATTACTTGGGCTACAATTCAGGTATAGGCTTTGATTTTATTTTCAAAAAGTTGAGCTTCTCTCCATTCTAAATATGAATCAGAGGGTCCAGATTTGTGAGGCCCACCAAGATTCAATTTCATAATCTGAATTAATCATTATATTGGACACTGTGTGTATATTATTTATAAAAAAAATAAAGTCCATTTGATATTTGTAACCTCTTTATTTTATCGAGTTTGTCTCTAAAAAAATTAACGGTCAATGTATTTTTAAAAATAAATTATCTATTTTTTTAATATAAGTGAAATAAAACAAATGAGTTACAAATATCGGATCAAACTGATTTTTTTATGAATGATCCTGTGTGTATATTACTTATAAAAAAAATTAAGTCTATTTGGTATTTGTAACCTCTTTATTTTATCGAGTTTGTCTCTAAAAAAATTAACGGTCAATGTATTTTTAAAAATAAATTATCTATTTTTTTAATATAAGTGAAATAAAACAAATGAGTTACAAATATCGGATCAAACTGATTTTTTTATGAATGATATACATGTAAGGCTCAACAAAATAAACCATTTAAATCATGAAAATAAGACCCTTGTATATCCATAGGGTCCAGACAGCACGCTCCAATTTAGACGATGGACCAAAAAAAGCGCTGCTGCCCATTTTGAAGCCCGTATTGTTATTCGATCAATTGCTAAAAAAGATGTTGCAAAACCATAAGGTGGTGGAAAGTTCAATGGCTTGGTTAGAAGATCAACAGAGTAATAGTTTGGTTCTGAGAGCATTTCAAAAGGAAAGAGAGTGATATCACCCGCTTGAGAAGATGCAATCTCCTGTTCACTGTGAATCACTCACACAAGGAAAATCTTCCGACGAAGAAGATCATTTGATCAGAAGCACAAAGAAAATCAAAAGCTCCGAGTCTACTACGGAAGGCAGCGAAGGCAAGGCGATTGATATGAAACAGAACTCCCCACGGATGATCTTGGCGATTAAAGACACCAAGATATGGGTTCTGCCCCTCCTAAGTCTTTCAAAGAAGCCTTAACTGCTGCTCATAATAAAGACTACATCTTTGACAGTAGAGTGGATATTCTATCGTCTAATGAGGAGGATGATGACGATCCAAAGGACCAGACTACTATACAAGGAACCTCTTCAGAGCAGCAGGGCCTCCCTTCAATATCTCTCCCCAAGAAGCTTCTGGATAAGATTAGGAAACCATGGGAGAATGCCCTTATTATCCGATTGTTAGGGAAACATATTGGCTACAAAATGCTCTGTTCCAGAGTCAGAAATCTCTGGGGTCTTCAGGGTGAATTTAATGCAATTGACCTGGGTTGCAACTATTTTCTATTTAAATTTTCAGATCTGACTGACTGTGCTAATGCCTTCACAGGTGGACCTTGGGTCATCATGGATCACTACCTAACTGTGCGACGTTGGGAACCTAATTTTAGACCATCAGAAGCATTTGAAACCACAACCGTAGTTTGGGTTTGGGTTCGGTTTCCTGAGCTTCCGATTGATTACTATCAAGAAAAAGTTCTATTTGCAATAGCCAAAATTATTGGTAAACCTCTTAAAATTGATTGGAATACTGCGATGGCGACACGGGGAAAATTTGCTCGAGTTTGTGTTAAGATGGATCTTAGCAAACCGTTAAAGCCCAAATTCTTTTTAGAGGGTAGGGTATATAACATTGAATATGAATCTTTGCATTCCTTCTGCTTTCTCTGTGGCAGAATTGATCACCGTAAGGAGGCATGTCGTTTCAAATCCACCAGTGCTCGACACGGGGAAAATTTGCTCGAGTTTGTGTTGAGATGGATCTTAGCAAATCGTTAAAGCCCAAATTCTTTTTAGAGGGTAGGGTATATAATATTGAATATGAATCTTTGCATTCTTTCTGCTTTCTCTGTGGCAGAATTGATCACCGTAACGAGGCATGTCGTTTCAAATCCACCAGTGCTCCACCGGCGGTGGAAAATATAGCCGTTTCTGGTACTGCTACATCTGAGCATTCACCTGTGATTGATAACGGCCACCTGCACCAGCCTCCTGAAGAAGATGTTGCTTTTGGCCCATGGATGTTAGTGACTAAACGCCCTAAGAGACCAGCCCAACACAAAAGGGCCCAAAACCCCACTAGCACAGTTACTAACACCAATCCGTTTCGGTATTTGGAAGAGGGCCAAGATGGACTTGGTTCTGCTCAAACGGGTAGGCAGACTACTCAACATACAGGGGGAAAAGCCCAAGGAGAACCCAGCCCCTTAAGTGGTCCAATACAAAATCCAGCTTCCAAGGGTAAACATCAACAAGGGCTCCAGCATAATAGAGCTAAGGAGATAGGCACCCGTAGCAACCAGCAAGTTGTCTGGCAGCAAATGGGGGAAAGTTCAGCCTCACACGCCATTGTTCTGCAAGCAGAGGGCACTTCTCGTGATCAAACCAAGATGACAACACATCTCACTGCGAATCAATTTCAACAGAACACCTCTGACATGTTCATTACATTGGAAACCACCCCAAGTCCAGCAGACTCTACTATGGTTGAAGTTAACCCAATCTCTACTTTTTCTTACCCACCAGTTACAAACCCAGCTTCCAACCCTATTCATCCTTTACACCCAGATCAGGAACCACCAGACCCAGGTGAAACAAATGATGGAGAGAGTAGATCACATGACCCGGGAAAACTCCCCCCGGAGGTGATCGAGCATCGGAATCAACAGGATACTGTGAGCCTTTTGTTAGAACCCGAGAACGAAGCAACTCACCTAATCGCTTTCGTCTGGTGGATAGAACAACTCCGAATGACAATCGCCCCAACCTGGGCAACTCAGCACCAGAGACCTCTGCACTCGATCCAACTTGCCTCCATGAGGTCAGCAGAGGCAGATCGGCGAAGGATTCGAACCATTGTTAAAGATCTGGTAACTGAATCACCCCTTCAATTCCCTTCTATGGATTTATTTAAACTTCTTTTCTGGAATTGCCGCGGCGCCGGCAATAACAATTTCAAACGAAATTTTGTGGAGATCATCCGTACCCATAAACCTGAGATCATCATACTTATGGAGACCAAAGTGCCTTTTAGCTCCATGGGAGATTTCTTTAACCGCCTGGGATTCACAGCCTCAACCTTTGTTGACCCTGTCGGCAGAGTATGAGGGATTTGGATCATTTGGGACACTACTCAGGTCAATGTAAGAGCCTCTTCGGTAAGTCCCCAAGCTATTCATGCCACTATTCATAAAGAAGATTTTGAGGAATGGGTCCTTGCTGCCGTCTATGCCAGTCCAAACCCTGTCCTGAGGGAGAAACTGTGGGATGATTTGGAAGAGGTGGCAGCAACCATGTCTAAGCCTTGGTTGGTCGCTGGGGACTTCAACGACTATGCGAACCAGGGAGAACGTCGAAGCTTCACCTCACCCACAACCTCTGCAAGAACACAGAAGTTTTTAGAGAGGATCAACAACTGTAACTTAGTCGATTTGGGTAGCACAGGCCCCAAAATGACATGGACCAACAATCGCCAAGGCTTGGCTAACACTATGGAGAGACTTGATAGAGCCCTAAGCAATCCTGAATGGAGAACTATGTTTCCAGAAGCAACTGTGAGGGTCCTCCCTCGCACCTACTCAGACCACTCCCCTCTGCTAGTCTATACCCAAGGTATGCATCCTCTTAATCCTACTCAAAGGCGTTTCAGGTGTGAAGCTGCCTGGATGTCTCACCCTGGCCTTATTGATATCATTCACTCTTCTTGGACTAATATGCATCATAACCTCCTTGAATCTATTGATGAATTCACGCTTAGAGTGATTGTGTGGAATAGAGAAGTCTTTGGGAATATATTTAAGAGGAAAAGACATCTCCTTGCGAGGATAGAGGGCATTCAAAAATCTTTAGCTAGTAACTTTTCTCATAATCTACATGTCCTTGAACAAGATCTTCTAAAACAATATAATGCGACTCTGTTCCAAGAAGAAACTCTTTGGTTTCAGAAATCTAGGGCTAAGCACATCACTCTTGGGGAAAGAAATACAAAGTTCTTTCACATTTCCACTATTAATAAAAGAAGGAAAACCAAAATTAATGCTCTCAAAAACCTTGATGGTATTTGGCTCACTGAGACTAATCAGATAAAGGCTGTCATTCTTGACTATTTTCAAAATCTGTTTAATTGTGAAGATGTTATCCAACTTGATCACTGGAATAATTTAGCTTCATCCTATTTTACTCATGATGACAATAATGGGTTCCTTACCCCCATTTCCAATGCTGAGATTCTTAGGGCTGTTACAGACATTGGTGCTTTCAAAGCGCCAGGGAAAGATGGCATGCAAGCCATTTTTTATCAGACTTACTGGAAGTCTATAGGTAACTCTGTCTGTCAATTTGTTAAACAGTGCTTTCGCAACAAAACTGTGCCTCCTAAGGTGAATGAAACTCTTATTGTTCTAATACCCAAAGTTGATTGTCCTGAAACTATTACACAATTTCGACCCATTAGATTGTGTAATGTTAACTATAAAATTATAACTAAGATTATTGTGGGCCGTATTAGACCTCTCTTGGACAACATCATCTCTCCTAATCAAAGTAGTTTCATCCCTGGTAGGACCACTACGGATAATATCATTATCACCCAAGAGATCTTGCACACTTTAAGGCATAAGAAAGGCAAAAAGGGTGGCATGATTTTCAAAATCGACTTAGAGAAAGCCTATGATAGACTTTCTTGGACCTTCATTAAAGATACTCTTCTGGAATTTAAACTTAATGGTACTTGGGTTGACCTGATAATGAGCTGTGTTACCAATAATCACTCTTTCATCCTTTGGAATGGAGAAATCATTGATGGGATTCAAAGTAGGAGAGGTCTCCGACAAGGAGACCCTCTCTCCCCTTACCTCTTTGTTCTCTGTATGGAAAGATTATCAAATATGATTCGTTGTAAGGTTCATGAGGGCTCTTGGAAAGGACTCAAAGCCTCCAGACATAGCCCATCCTTATCCCACCTGTTTTTTGCTGATGATCTTATTCTTTTTGCTCAAGCTACTTCATCTACTTGTGATATCATCATGGATACCGTTTCTGAGTTTTGCAATGTGTCTGGGCAGAAGGTAAATCTTCTCAAATCTAAACTTTTTGTTTCCCCTAATGTTCCTAGGAATCATTCTAAAGCCCTTAGCTATCAAAGTGGAATTCCCCTCACCCGCAACCTTGGCAAATACCTTGGTTCCCCCCTTCTTCATCAGAGAGTTACCAGACACTTGTTCAATGACATCTTAGATAAGATAAAAACCAAACTCTCAGGTTGGAAAGCTAGAACCCTTAGCCTAGCTGGTAGAGCAACCCTCATACAAGCTGTAACCTCTGCCATACCCACCTATACCATGCAAACCATGGAACTCCCTAGAAAACTTTGTGATGACATTGACAGACTTAATCGAAATTTCCTGTGGGGAGATTCTGACACTCAAAAAAAGGTTCACTTGGTTAATTAGGATAATGTGTGTCAAAGCAAGGCTGAGGGTGGTCTTGGTATCAGGAAAGCTAGAGATCAGAATACCACCCTCCTAATCAAACTTGGATGGAAAATCTTGAGTGATAATAATATTCTTTGGTGTCAAGTTCTTCACACCAAGTATCTGCACCAACATAACCTTTTTACTTGGCCTATGAAGAAAAACTCTTCTCATTGTTGGAGAAGTATCTGTAAGGTTAGGCACATCCTTAGGAAGGGAATTAAATGGATTGTTGGTGATGAGAAGAATATATCCCTCTGGACTGATTGGTGGTGTGGTTCTCAACCTCTATCCCAACAGAATAGCAGATATCCGGTTGATGACTCTGTCAAGGTTAGCTCCATTTTAGATGCAGAAAGTAATTGGGACATCACTACTTTGTCTACTCTTGTTTCCAAACAAGACCTCACTGAAATCCTAACGATGCACAGACCTAAATATGTTACCTTCCCTGATATCCTTACCTGGGCCCCTTCGGAATCTGGTAACTTTACTTGCGCCTCTGCTTTTAAATTCATTACTAATGCTGACTTAGATCACAGGAACTGGAAATGGATCTGGAAAATTCCGATCCCACAAAAGCTGAAACTATTTCTCTGGTTAATTTTAAAAGATAGACTATTGACAAACCAGTTAATTGCCCCAGATGTGGCCATCACAGTGAGAACATGGCACATTTGCTCAGAGACTGTGTAATCTCGAAAGAGTTTTGGACCAACATCCAGAATATTACTTGGTGGGAAGAGGGCTAGAAATTGCCTCTAATTGAATGGGTTACTGTGAATATGAAAAGCAAAAAATTCTTTTATGGGAAAAAATGGTACCTTGTTTTCATTGTTACTCTATGGCATATTTGGAAAGACCGAAACAAACTGATTTTTGACAATCTGTCCAACCCACTTCAGCTCAATCTTAAGAACATCTTCCAATATGTTCAAGAGATTGAGGAGGCCTTTCTATCCCCTCTCTGCCCACCCCCTGCAATTCCTAATCTAATTCATTGGTGTTGCCCAACTGCAGGTAAACTAAAGCTCAATACTGATGGATGTTCGAAAGGCAACCCAGGACAAGCCGGCTATGGGGGACTGCTGCGAGATGAAACTGGTAATTGGGTTTGGGGATACTATGGAAAGCTCGGACATTGCTCCAGCTTGGAGGCAAAGATTTGGGCCATTTACCGAGGCTTGACCATACTCTTTCAGAAAGGAACTAGAGATGTACAAGTTGAATCTGATTCTGCCCAGGCAATCAACCAAATTCTGCATGGTCCAGACCATAATTCCCCATATAAAGCTCTCCTCGAAGATGCCAAGTTCCTACTTAGAAGAAGCAACAGCTCTCTTCAGCACACTCTGCGTGAGGGAAACAAAGCTGCTGACCTCCTAGCTAACTTGGGAGTGGATCAAAATGAACATGTTGTTTTTCTTGACAACCCCCCACCTGAAATTACTACTTTCCTTATTGAAGACATGACTGGAGCTAGTGTTGAGAGGGACTAGCCCTCTGGTTGCTGTATCTGAACTTCTATCTTGTTCTATGTTTCTTATGAATCTAAAAAAAAAAAAGAAATTAGAAGAGTACGACATTGGTAAGCAGTTACTGATTTCATAGCATAATTGACCAACCTAAAGAATGTGTCTCTTGAAATGGGAACAACTCTGGAGACTGAGAAGTCAGCTCAGTCATCCAACTGTGAACTTGTGAAATATAATTATATTTTATTTATTTTTTACTTATATTTTCTCTCTTTATTTTTAAATCTTTCATTAAATTTATGAATCAAACACAACGTAAAAATATTTTGAAAGGGAAGAGAGCTTGTGAAAAGTGATAATATGTTTCCCCAAAAATGAAATACTTTGCCAACATATATGTCTGTCGCACATCGTGCATATGTAATTACAAAGTAAATATATGCTACTGATTTTTACAGACAATTATATGTAGCTAAGGGGGACAAATTACTCATTAGAGAACTTGTTTCTCATGTGCAGAAGGTAAAAATTAAGATTTACCATTGCTGAAAATAACTGAATAAAAAAGAACAAATAAATACATAAAAAATAACAACTGCAAATGCAAATGCAAATGCAAATGCAAGAGATAAATAACTAGAAAATATGTTGACTAGAAGGCTAAGTGCAAGAAAATATTTGAAATTGAGAAGTGATTGGTTTGGTTGTGCATGGGAAGAGGGCTTTCGCTGTCATCTTCTTTGCCTTCTTTGAGCTTATTCTGGATAAAGTCCACTACAATACAATGTTTTCGTGCAGCCACGTCTCTTCATTTCTCATTTTATTTTTCTAAATGTTTTGACTTTTGGACTCTTCCAATTACAAATTATTTTAACTAGCTTTTTAATTTTCAGTTTATTAAAAATGTATTTTCAAAGAACAATTTTATAATTAAAATCAAAATTTCAAAACAGTGACGCTTCGAAGAAGGTTCAGCAGATATGACGGTAACTTCGTCTCGTGGTAATGATACTAAAATTGGGGGAAAAACTTTCGTGAGTTATCTGTACAAGTATTTACATGCATTCTCATCTGTATAATATTTTGTAGAAATGACGACCCCTTTCATTGATTAGAAGTAGGGCATTCAGAACTTCTTGTCTCGGTTTGGATCACCCTTGTGTTATACGATCCACATAAGCCACACTTGTGATATAACCAGTGGAAGCGTGCTGTGCCCTTCCGTTCACAGTCATTGCAGAGTATATCCTGGAATGCCACCGTATAATAAGTATAGATTGGTTTAGTTAAAATTAACCCTCAAGGAAAAATGGAAATAGTAGGATTACAAATCAGCAAACCTTGATGAAACCTAATATCAGAGAGAGAAAGTGAAGGCAAAGTACCTGAAGACGATCCCTGTATTCCTCTGGAAGCTCCTCAGTAGCCAGCAAAGCATCAAGCATGCCAAAGTAAACCTGAGAAGCAAAATAATATTTAAATGATGACTGTAAACAAAAGATTTTTCTCTCAATAGTAAACAATCATTGATGAAGATTGGAACAAGTTGGTAGCATTGCTAATTACTGGAAGATTTTATGAGCAATGCCATGCTAACTTTTTCATGTTCAAAACCATATTGCTCATCGAACTTCACAGATCTTCAATTGGTCAACAATTTCAGTATGCATCTCCAAAACAATATATAAATAAGAAAAACACATTTGGAACATTACAAAACATATCCATTATCTAACTCAAAAAACAAAACAAAAGAGCTAAAAAATTTCGTACCGCCATATCTCCCATAGATTTGCTACATATTGGGCAGATGTAGTTTCTGCAAGCATATGCCTAACAGATCAAGAAAGACAATGTTTATAAGCATTCCCTCAAAACTTCTTCATGCAATTAAAGAGGAAAGATATGCAAGAATAAGAAAAAGTAGAACTCGGATGATCAAAGATTATGAAGAATAGAGACCTGAAAACATGCTGAATGCATGTAATGGCCACAAGGTAGACCCCTAACTGTTGCACTTGACGTAAACAAGAACTCGCAGCAGATGGGGCAGTTTGTTTCTAAACTTTTCTCCAGACATTTGTGGTTCACTAACTTCAAGGACAGACAACAATTACATTTCATGCAATGAAAAAAATCGACACCAAGACCCCTCCCAAGCCGGCATAAATTGCAATACGGGCAATGATATACAGTCCTGAAGGAAAAAAATAATCATTATAAGATCAGGAATTATCTAATATTATCCTGAAAAAAAATAGGGCACAGTAGCAAACATTTACAAGGCTAGGTGAAATGGAAAAAAACCAAATAAAATTAAATGTAAGACAGTGTGCTCCATTAATTATCAGTGCGCATATGCATGTTTGAAATGACACATTGATGTCCCAAGCAGGGTGGGTTTTCACACGTCCATATAAGAAACATCTAAAATGTGAAATAATTATTCTAAGTTCTATGAAGTTAGTAAAGAGAACATGAGTTATCTACCTGCCAAATTTTTCTCAAGTAAAAACGTCCAAATGCTTTTAGATAATCAGAACAAAGTCTAGTGAACTCTAGTATTTACTGTTCTTATGTAAGCATATCATGCATGTAGAATGATGCTGGAAGTGAAGCACATCTTTTAAAGATGCACATTATGAATCATATCTGGACATGAATCATGTATTAGTTTTCCTATTTTCTGAATGGTGTATCATATCATGTATCGTAATATTGTTTAACATCTTTAGAAATAAATCATAAACATTACAAAAGTAAGATTCCTAGAATTAAAGATATGGAGCATCAATACTTGAGGGATATATAAAATGTAGAGTAGAGATAAAAATACATATAATATATACCATTTTAGTATGTTATTATATCATTGAATCATATTTATGCTCAGATTGCTTCCTTAATAATTATATAATACATTGTCCATATTCTCTTAAATCACCATTGATGACGTTTTAATTTTTAATTTACAACTTTTATGTTGTCAAATACTCTCTTCCATAGTAGAAAGTTTTATCCAATGTAATTGGGTAAAATGAGATAGCTAATAACAGACAAGTAGATACCTATATTTAAGTTTAGCAGAACATAGAAATAGTACCCTTCTCATTTTAAGCTATATTTTATGGACTCAAATATGGGTGTCAGGTGCTGATATGTGATCCACCCAAAAAAAGGTGCAGATATGTGTTATTTTCTAGGGTAAAATGGTATTCACAAGGTACTATGAAGTATTTCATGCATAATATGCATAATCTCACGGTAAAATTAAACTACTAAATATGCTTTCTAGGTGACATTTAATTATTGATGGTAAAAAAAACCATAATAAACAGCAGAAATTTGTATTTGTGATAAACAAATATCTGTTACCCTTTGAGGCTCCTACGAATTAGTTTCCACATGGAACATAATTGTGAGAGTTCAAGCTGGATCTAGATCAAAGGAAATAATAATCTTAATATTCTTCAGCATCTCTACCATTATCAACATGAAAGAACAAGTTGGACTGTTATTAAGTATGTCGTCATCTACATTAGCCAAGCCTTAACAACAGTCCAACCACTGCTTTTAGAAAGATCCATTAAGGAATATAAATATTTTATACATGATCTAGATTAATTGCAAGAAAGATTCAACATTAGAAAATTCTTATAAAAACAAAATGAGATCTAAAAGATCTTTTTCCTAAAAGCACTGTAAATCTATGGCACTAGCAGTCTCTGTGTGATTGTATATAGATGTGCAGCTTAATGAGTTCAAAATCTATGTATCACAACAAACAAAGAAGATAATAAAAACACCAATTGAATCCTGAACAATTGAAGAACTTATGTACTTGATATTCTAATTAGCTTGTCTACCTCTCATCATCAAAAAACTTGCATATATGGCAATAGTACTTTGCCATTAAAAGGTCATTGCATGAAGGTGTCGTGCACATAGGTCCTACTGGTTGAATTTTCAGGCAGCACATACACATCATTTCTGCTGTTGCTTTCCTGCAAAGATTAAATAAAAAAATTATGTAAATGGAAGCCTGACCTGAAATTTATGCACATGATCAGAAAATTACCTATCCATTGAGTGGTCACTGACTTTGTCATGGCAGAACCTGCAAGCAAACAACTTTTCACAGCAAGCAGCTAGAAGTTTACAGTTTCTCTTATAATGTTCGCACCCAAAGACTTGTTTCTCTGGATCTCGAAATGATGGTGAGCATCCTGGTATACCTTCACCATTAGAAGTTTCACCTTCCACTGCTTGAGTTGACTTCTGCTGAGCGGCTATCCAGCGACTAAAACAAACCAAGAAACTGGTTACGCAGGACTCTCAACCAGGAAAAGAAAGCATCATTATAAAGTTCATAACCAACTAACCATATAAATATAAACTTATTTTTTTTAATTAAAAGGGCTTTAGTCCAAATTATAGCAGTAACTGTAACTGGCTCAAACCTAGTCATAAGATTTTGAACAAGGTATGCTTTTCTCCTTGGATCAAGAGTTGAGTCACGATAAACCTTTCTAATCTCTGCCTCCAGTTCATTTTGATTCATGAGAAAAATATCTTTCCAGCCAGGCTTAAACATCTGATCACTCAAGTCCAAGTTTTTCCGAGAATCAATACCTATAAGTAATGTCGAATGCATTAATATAATTCAATCCAAGATGCTATCCATAAATGATAGGCATGAAACACACTACAAGATCAAACCCCAGTAAATGAACATAGAACGATGCACTCATTAAACCATTAAATGAACAACACTATAAGCATAACGCAAACCTTTATAAGAACTACTACCTCCTGCTGTTTCAGGCAGTAAGGATGATTCTTTAGTTCCTTTCCAGAATTCATTAAGCCACTCATTAAACATTGTGTTTTTGGCTGCCTGCTTCCATGTGTCCATCATTTTATTCTGCTCATCCTGAGTAAGTGCAGATGTTACCCAAGGTAACATTGATTGGAGCACTTCAGCACCTGTAGTCCCAATTATCCGACCAACAATTTTGTCCTGCTCCTCCACAGAAAAATGTTTACCAAACAATGGCCACAGCTCAAGTTCTTCCCGGAAAACATGCTGATCTAGGCTGACTCTTATTGACTTGCACATGCCTTGAAGCTTTGTAGCTAGTTCACTGTACTTTCTCATACTATCACTACCATGGTCGGCACCAAATTCAATGTTTCTTTTAATTAAATCCTCTATCATACGAGCCCCCTTCAAACCTTCATGAAGGTGTGAAAGGTCAGAAAGGGCAGAAGATATATCTTCAAATAATTTTTCTTCCTGCTTATGGTCCAGCATATATGAGTGACTAACATTGTGAAGTCCCTCTTTGGCTTCCAATGCCGGAAAAACTATTTCATCCTCAGCATTACTATGAGCTCTATATAAGCCCCAAAGCAAGCGAAATCTTCCAGAGAATTGCCGAAGGAATGTGTCATCACAGTTACTAAGTTTTCCAGATTCAACATCTAAATACTCCAAATCTTTGCGTATGGCTTTGTGAAACTTAAAAATAGTATCAATTGGATGCACTGCTCGGCCAATGTCAGAAGAGCTATTATCTAATTCCCAGCAGAAAAGGCTGGAATTAAGAGAAGGAGCAGAGGAGCTGAAGGATAAGGAACGCAAAGACTTTACAGTAGAAAGAGTACTCAATCCCAGATTATTACTGCTTACTCCCAAACCTGGGACACAGCAAGTCCGATCTCTACAAGATAGATTATCATCATTTACAGTCTCTGAAGGATCATGTACAGCATTGTTTTTGCAAGGCATTGAGATGTTTCGCTTGACTGGCCTTTCATCTTCATCTGTCTTAACTAAGAGTGGGCATGAACAGAATGATCGAACAAAATCTTCTTCAATGTCAGTGAACTTTTTCACAGGACAGCAACCAATTGCACTAGAAGACAAGCAAACACCCTGATGACGTCCTTTGCATGCCCAACCAGTAAAAAGTGTTACCAGAGCAGTATCTGATGCTGGAGCTGAATTACAGAATTACCACCAGTTAGAAAATAAAATAAAATAAGCATCACCACACTTGTTATACATTGATTGTCTCTTTGTAAAGAACTATACTGAATTGGTACAGAACCTGCCAAATACATGTTTCTAAGGAAATCCGTGGCTTCATCTTCAGTCAGCGATCCAACCAGCCATGGCAAGACACGTTCAATTAATTTCAACGGCATAACACACAGACTTTGATACAAAAGTTCCCGTTGTCTTTTGAAGCTGAAATGCTTTCGAGCAAGTGGAAGAACCTAAATGTGCAGAAAGCTTAGAAGGTGCCTCTCAGGATTGAAGCAGATGTTTGATGACTCAAGTTTCAAGTCATGCACCACTATACAAATTAACCATGGAGGGAATAGTCATAAAGCTTATTAATTTCATCTTCATCTGAGTACTTTCAGAAGTTATCACTTTCCCTCCCATGGAAACTTTGTTTTAAGTCATGCTCGTCTAATTAAATTAACAGGAACCAGGTTTAGGGCATAACTTGATACTGGTCACCAAACATCTCCCTGAAAAGGATTATTGCAATATCAAGGAAAGCTCACCTGAACTTCCTCATCTTCGAAGTGTCTCTGTATGGTATCCATTATATGATCAGCATGTGAACACAATTTTGCGTAAAATGCAGCAGCTGAAGAAGAATTGAATCCTTCACTCTGAATATTTTCAATCAGAGAACGAAATTGATTAAACTGACGTTCTTCATCAGCGTGCTCCTGGAAGAAAGAGAGTTCTCCATCTACTGCAGGGAATATAACCTTGTCCTCGGCTATACTGTAAAAAAAAATGGCAAAATGGTCATTTTGATATTTAAAGTGGGAAAATGTTTCTAAAACGGTATTGGCAAAATCATCTCTAGTATTTTTACACCAGTACTTGTTGACAGATAATATATATATGGGTAAATTACACTTAGTAGCCCTACATTTCTACCAAAATTTCACTTAAGTCCCTTTACTTTCAATTGTAATAGTCAACCCCCTACACTTCAAGTCAAGTTGCAATTTCACCCTTCCGTCCATCTACCGTCAATGACGCTAATGAAAATTAAAAGTAAAGGGAGTAAAGTGACATTTTTAGTGAAAGCGTAAGGATTGAAGTGAGATTTTAGTAAAAGTGTAAGGGTGCTAACCAGATGAGAAAACTATCACATATATTTCAGATGACAAGTTCCATCAACAGTCGTAATGGCAAATGGATAGAAGGGTGACATTGCAACTCGACTTAAAGTATAGGGTGTTGACTGTCACAATTGAAAGAGAAGGAACAAAAGTGAGATTTTGGTGGAAGTGTAGGGTTGATAAATGTAATTAACCCTGTAAATATACACTCTTAGTGAACATAAGAAGATATATGCATGCACTGAGTGAACTTGGGAACATTTATGATCACATGGTCATCATCTGAGTAATTCCCTCCAATACCATAGCAATAAAAAAATTCTAAACAAGTGTAGCCATAATTACGTCTATGTTAGACAATGATACTTCCTTCTAAAGAAATCAACTATTCTTTGAATGACACTAACCACTGCAGTAGGCAGTAGCTATAAGGAGAATGAAATCTCCGTCCTCTCTTATGAAAATATGCAAACAGAAAAAGGAACACAGTATTTTGCATAAGCATAAAGATCCAATGGTCTAAAGAAGAGAGGACTAATTATACCTGTGAAATATACAAACTTCAGCTATAAACTGGAGCCTTTCATTAAAGTTTGCTAAATTAGAAAAATCTCCAGAAAGTTGAATCTTCCTAGCTTCCTCTGCTATTTCATTCAACTCTCTTTTAATAACATTGTGCCAATATAATATTTCATTGATAGGATGCACCCCAAATGTATCAGAACCATCACTATTTGACCTAAAAAATTTCCTCTTCCCAGTCTTGAAAGATGCACATGCACAATTTACTTTCTCTGTTTCACGGGTTATTTTGCCACTAGCACTAGAATTCATTAAACTCTGGATCTGAGGATCACCATCATCACTTCTAATTGTGTTACTGCTGTTCCTGCCTTCCATCCAGCTAAAGATAACCTTCAATAAATGACACCATCAGTCAGGTTCATGTATCCAAGAGAGAAAAAAGAAGACCAAGAAAATAAGTTAGGGTTCTGATGTACTGAGACCTCACCTGTTGAAGAAGCTTCTCTTTTGGGACTATCTTACGCAAGCACTTCAGCATATTCTGATACTCATCAGGTGAAATAGAAGAAGAAAGCCAGGGAAGGAATTTTTTCATCATATTCACAGGAATGCTGCACAAGAACTGCCAAACTAATGATGCCTGCTCTTCAAATGTGAACTTCTCAATGAGCAAGGGAAAAACCTGCCATAATCAAAGGAAAACCAGAAGAACCAAAGACATTTTTGTTTAGTTAAGAATATCAAAAACAAATAAATAAATAAATGAAACATGTCTCAAAGCAAGCCAAGTTTCACAAACTTCTGTGTCAGTGCTAAGCTGAGCAGGAGGAAAAAAAAAACTTCTCAATAAGCAAGGGGTGAGGGAAAACATGTCACAATCAAAGAAAATCAAAACAATTCAAGACATTTTTGCTTTAGTTTAGAATATAAAAACCAAAAGATAAATAATAAGAAATATCTCAGAGGATAATGAGTTTCACAAACATTAAAGTCAATGGACTCATGGGCTTCACCACAGGCTTCCAAAGAAGATAATGCGCCCCCATCCAATTAAGGGCTGTGCCATCACTATGTGAAGATACCACTGAATGAATTTTGTGAACTAAAACACATCTTCAGTAACATTATATGGATTATTGTGATTTTGTAGTAAAAAAGACATCAGATACAAACTTCAGTACTCTCACCAAAATTGTACAACAAAAGCAAGTTCTTTGTGGTACAATATGGAAAACTGATCAGACTAGGAAATAACAGAACCAAAAATATTGGTGGTTTCAATTCAATATGCATTTACACAAAAAATGCATCTATCCAAGGAAAAAAAAAAAAGCCATTACATAATGAATAGAAAAAACTAGTGTGGACGTATATTCCAATATCGCACTCTCTCTCTAGCACAGCAGCACACATGTAGACACACACAAGGCCCTCATACCTGTATGAAATAGAGAGAAATCTCTTATGAAAAACAAGATAAGAACCTCACTGCGTAATAATTGGGTGGATCATACCTCTTGACCATCATTTAAATAGTGTTACTGTGTTACCTATATCTTGTCCGCAACTTGATTAGTGTTACCTATATTTTGTCCACAGCAATATATCAAGCAGAACTACCTAAGAGTGAACATTTTCGTTATTTAGGATCAATTATTACAACGGCTGGGGAGATTAGAGCGGATGTGATCCATAGAATTAAGGCATGGTGGCTTAAGTGGAGGAATGCATTTGGAGAACTGTGCAATAAATGAGTACCCACTAAACTAAAAGGAAAGTTCTATAGGACGGCTATTAGACCAACGAAGTTGTATGATACGGAATGTTGGGCAATTAAGAAACAACATACAGATAAGATGAGTAATGCTAAGGTGGATGTGTGGCAAGATTAGAAAATATAGAGTTAAGAATGAGTATATTCATGAATAGGTAAGAAGAGTAGTACTGATGGAAGATAAACTGAGAGAGAATACATTGAGATGGTTTGGTCATATACAACGGGGACCAACAAAGGCAGTAGTGAGGAGATGTGATACAGTGACGGTAGATAGAAATATTAGGGGCAGGGGCAGGCCTAAATTGACATAGGGGGGTGTTTGGCAAAGGCTTTTTATGGCTTTTTGGACTAAAATCCACAAAATGACAAAATAGGCTAAAATAGCCAATAAGACAAGATGTCACAACAAACCCATAATTATTTCACTTTTTCTCTCACAAACATCACATTCAATTACAAAAAAAATCCAACTATCTTCCCAAATACAAAAATTTTAGCCTACTAAAATAGCCAAAAACTAAAATAGCCTACTAAAATAACAACTTCCCAAACACCCACATAAGCTAGTGTAGTAAATAGAGATATGAATCTCCTTAATTTGATTAATCAAATAGCCGTTGATAGAGTCGAGTGGAGAAGAATGATTCATGTAGCCGACCCCATTGGTTGGGACTTAAGACTTGATTTGATTTGGTTTGGTTTGGTTTGGTTTAGCAGTATATCAAGCACTTGCATATATTCTCTCGCAGATGTCCAACAAAACAGTGTCATCCATTCAAGTCCCGTAGAATATAGTATAAGTATAATGTAGTTTTAAGAAGTGCCATGATAATAATATAAAGAAGAAAAGAATAAACACTTCAGAATCATCCACAAAATGAAGAGGATGACACAATAGAAAGCCATACGTAACTTAGTTATTTTTTCAAATATAAACATCAAACGCACATGTTCAGGAAAAATGTACACCATGATTTAATGTCATTAGCCATTCTTCTATTAAGGTATATCACAATTGTAGTAAAAAATATTGCTAGGAGATGGTTCAAAATACATGAGACAAGCAAAAGAAAAGGCACGCAATGAAATGCTACCTGCTCCTCTTCCTTTGACATGTGCTGGCTAATTGATGTCTGAAGGGCTCCTGTACATGATGCCAACTCCCTAGCGAAACTTTCATCTCTCTGTCTATTAGAATTTAGCAGCTCAAATAGATGATCAAAAAGATCATTTTCTCCCTTGTGCTCCAAGGAGTATGCTTGTGCCACATTCTTCACGCGTATATCAAGAGCTGGAAAGATGACCTGTAGTTGAAAATTTTCATGCTGTCAAGCCTTATGTAAACAGCAAAAAGACTGCTCCTGGAAACATTATAGCAAAGATAAAATGAGGCAAATGATCTGTGTTGTAAAAAAACTGGTCTCCACTCCCCATCAACAATCTCATTAGTAAAGATGACCGACCATACACAGGAAAATCAAATTAAGAAAACTACATTTTGTGTACGCATCAGAATTTGATCATAAAGACACTGAAGAACAATTTGAAAACATATAAGGCCTCGTTTGGAAACAGGCTATTTTAGTAACTTTTTGACTTTTTACGAAAAGATGTGCAGAAAAGTAGAGAGAGAGTGATGTGACAACTTATAGTGACTTTTTGGCTAGAATGTATAGTTGACAAATGAGGCCTTGTTCTACGCATGTAATAGTTCGCAGCTATTGATCATACAAATGCTTTATATGAGCTATAATTTGTGCATTATTTTTAAATTTGAATGCGGGTTCCCTAAAATATTGTGTCTATTTTCAATAGTTAAGTGTTTGTCTAGAACAATTAATAATTGGGTCTCTTTGAATATCCAAACAGGTAAAAGCAAAAAGAAAAAAATGAACGGAAGTTAATAGTTGTTTGGTACAATTTTTGGAAATGAGTTCTCTTAAGTTTAGGAAAGATAGAATTAGAAATATATATTCATGAAATGGTAAGAGTAGTATCTATTGAAGATAAATTGAGAAAGAACAGGTTGAAATGATTTGATAGTGTATAATGAAGACTTATAGATGTAACAGTAAGGAAGAGTGATAAGATCACCATAGGCATAAATAGATATGTTATGGGGAGGAGAAGACCTAAGCTAACATGTGATGTAGTAGTGAAAAAATATATGAATTTATTTAATTTAATTGAGCATATAGCTCTTGATAGAACGTAATGGAGAAAAATGATTCCCGTAGCCGACTCTATTTAATGAAGACACAAGGCTTAGCTAGGTTTGGTAGTTCTCTAAGCGTGTTTTCTTAGAGGCAATGAAATATTTGTACTAGATTTTAGCATTTCCAACTAGAAAAAATAGAACACAAAATAGATCATCAGTCTAGTGTTCTCAAACTACAGGTGTTTTTGGCTACCTTTTGAAAACAAATTCAAGAACAGAGAACTAGACAATTTTTTCCCTTTATCTTTTGATTTTTTGTATCTCTTAGAATAAACTTTTGTAGAATCTTTCCAAACATACCCTTAAATTCCATTCTTTTTTCAGTTGCATCTCAACAAATGGAATGATTTTATCAAACGACAATTTACTAAATGGAATCCATCATTGACTCAACATATTATTTTACATAAAAGTGTTGTACTCTTCTTATTGATTAAACGTTTTCCCTGGCTATCTAGGTTTCATTTATGTCACTCAGTTCTCTCACAAGACTTTTGTTTAGAGCGAAAGTAAAACCTGCAGAAGCTCCAAGTGGTCCAAGGTTTCATATATGTCACTCGTTCTCTCATAATTTCTCCGTGGGACCTTTTGTTTAGAGTGAAAGTTAAAACTGCAAAAGCTCCTAGTAGCATTGATTTATAAGGGGTTACATATTTGAGCATTTGGTAAGATTTCTAACAATACAGAGAATTGACTCATCCCCAACATGCCTACTCTGGGTTATAAGCTTTTAGAACAGACTTATGGTATTCAAATCATTTTTAGTATGCCTAGTTAAATACAAAAATTATATTCATTAAATAGAAGTAAGAAGACTGCGCAAATATGAAAATATCTCATGTCAACTATGACCAAACAAGCACCTCTCCATTACCAAAATGATGCACTTACCACAAAATTGACTGTTAATTCCAACAGTCCATTAACATAAGTCGGATGAGAAAATTATTATATCAAATATTGATTGTAAATTTTAACTCATCATCAAATCCTTTTAGCAGCATTGAGTCTCAACAGAATCAGATAAAAGTAAATGTCACAAAAATAAAATAAAAAATCAAATCATACTAATGCTAGGTGCAGGGATCTAATGCTTGGGAGACCTATCATATAGTAGGTCCCATATGCATTCTACTGATATGGCTCCATTCACATTATTCAAGCTTGGTGCTAGCATAGAGAAGTTTAAAGTTCATTCATCATATTACAACTAGAAGTGCCCATGTTTAGTCATACCCGCACGGGCCGCAACTGTCACATAAACCACCAGGTCCACTACAAATGGGGTGAACCGTGACACTTGCACCGGTGGTTTGTCTAAACTGCCGCTAATTACTGCAAGTTTCAAAGAACTTTGCTTAAACTCCTACCGATCATGATCTGCAAAAACTGCACCCAATGGCATCATTTTGACATTTCTGTGCAGTGTTGTGAAGGTTCAATGAAATACCAGTAAGAGCAATCATGACGACTGCTTACTATGCAAAAGAATTAACAACACTTTTGATGTTTTATGCGTGGCAGTTAGTTAAAACCGCCAGTAATTCTAATTAATGCCGCTTCCAATAAATTGTCGATAAACCCATAAACAAAAAACTGTCGGTTATTGAGGATTCCAATTTTGGAAGCAGGCTACCACTACTGATAAATTATTTTTACCATTCTTCTTCGAGAACAAAAGTCTCAAGGATTCTCTCTCCACAAATGCAAACAAAAGATCATGACTGTCAAAATGGATGTTGCGGAAACTTTGTTGAAGATCGTCCAAAAAATTAGGAATCCATCCAAATGCTGCAGTTATTACCAACCCCTATATAAAAGATCTTAGTAAAGGCGTAACTTCCGCAAGAGACAAAGGCTTTAAAGAGTCCATGAATCACGTGGATAGAATGACGTGCACGAAAACAAATTGATCAGAATAAATCAAGAAACGACATCATACACATCGAATCGATGATGGGATCTTGTTGACTCCAAAACTAGAAACCGACGTAAAACCAAATCATTAGTACAAGTAGTTTTGGCAAGGAAGCGATGGAATTTAAACTTCTTCATTTCACTTTATTCTATTTCATTCCTTAGAGCATAAAGAAGGCAATAACCAACTATCATCATACATATAATAATTAACAAACATCATCTTCCTTTACACTGTGTTTGGTTAGAAGATTTGGAAAGGAAAAGAAAAAAGATAAGTGAAATGAAAATAAAATATACCTATATTTCACTCATACACCTTTTCCCTTTTCATTTTCAAATCTCTCCCCAAATTCTCCAACCAAACACAGCATTAGAGAATTAGGTAACCTTATGACAATTCATCAGCAATGCAAAACTAGAATGAAAAAATTCAGCAATCACACTGAAAATTTTATGACACATAAATAAATATGTTTTTTTTTTTGTATTTTGTACATAGATATACAGAAGTAAACGCCTGAAACAGCAAATTAGCACATTCAATGTTAATATACTTGTGAATATCAGAAATTATTGTAAATACGGCAGCACAAATAACAAAACAGTAACGAAACAAAATCTACAAAACGAAATGAAGTAAGCTAGGGTAACTTAAAGATTAATTTAGTACAGTAATCAAATTATACGGATTTGAAACACTTTCGTTCAAAAAATAAGGAAGATGGAAAATTCAAAGGCGGACCTCATCTTCAGCATTGGAGTGGTGCTTGTAAATTGACCTAACCATATGGTACCGCTCGACCAAGGGCTGTATATCTGCTAATTGGCCAGTCGCTAAGGCCATGGCCGATCGCTGAAGCTTGTCGAGCTCCAACCTTATGGCCTTGTGAAAGTAGAGAAATATTAGAATTGGAGATTTCAGCACCGAATCGTCCAAACACGCCTTTGATGACGACGAATCTACCGGATTCACCGCCCCGGACAACACCGCCACTCCTCCTCCTCCGTCTCGCCCCAACAATGGCGTCCCCATTTTCCTTTCCGCGATTCACAAACCCTACCTCCTCCTCAGCTCCACAAAATTCCTTCTCTCTTTCTCTCTCTACAGAAATTTCTCTTTTCTCTCTCTAAAACTCTGGTTTTGTGACTCAAACAGATTAACCTTTCTCGCTGTGTCTATTTCTCTCTCTAGAACTCTGGTTTTCATAGCTGTGAAACATGAGCCTTTCTCTCTCTATATTGTTGTTAGGCGGAGAGAGAGAGAGAAGCTTCTGGATGGACACATACATACATAGAGCTAGAGAGATATGCATATACATATATATACATACAAGCTAGTCCATGTGTAGGTGTTGATTTGATGATTCTCTTTCTACAAACAACGGATGAGAAGAAGAGGTCTCTGAGTATCGGTGGGTGGGCTTGATAAGAGAGAGAGAGAGAGAGAGAGGGGGAAGTAGGGGCGTTGTTTGTTAGCCTTTATAATTGACCGGAATTCGACGTGGCAAAGATCTGCCACGTCGAAACGATTTCTGGATGAGATCAGCAGCAGCGACGACCAATTGCAAATTCTTAGCGTAATAGTCAGCGGTTCGAGGCACGAGTGAGTTGGCCCGTAAGGGCTTGAAACACGTGTGATCCAACATTACTAATTTTAATTTAATTTACCGTAAAATATATTTACACTCACCTCTCTAAACATTTTAATCACATAAATATTTAAAACATTTTTTTATAAGTAATTGTAATTCTTTAATTGTATAAATGAAAAGGTGATATTATCTGCTTACTATTAAAATACATATTTATTCTTGTTATTTTAGTATCTATGCACTATATGTATTAATTTCAGTCACTTTAACTATACTAAAAGAAAATTTTGTGTAATTATGTTTAAAATGTGAAACTATTTATGTTTTTTTCAAAATTCAAAGAAAACCTCCCCATAAATTATTCCCAATTGGTCTTGTATGAGTTAGCTATTTTGGTTTTTGGTATGGAATGAGAAATAGTTAGGCCCCATTTGTTAACGTTTTTAGTTTACAAAAAATAAGTAACATGCTTTTTATTTATTTTTGTAAAAAAATAAAATAAAAAATTTGTTTGGCGTATAAATTTTTTTTGAAAACAAATAAAAAAAAAAGAGAAATATATTTAATGAGTTATTGAAGTTGGTAGCCGAAGATGGGGGTGAATGGATGTGGTGATCAGTAGTGACGGGTGGCTGGAGGTGTCTGCTGAAGTTAGTGGTCGGATATCATCGAAAGTCATGAGATGGCCTAAAGGATGCCAAAAGATAGCTGACGATTACAACGATGACTGCCAACCCAACGAAGAGTTGTCGAAAGTTGGCCAGAGCTGCTGTCCACCGATGGTGGGTGGTGGTGGTTAGTGGCCAATAGTGGTGGCAGCAGGGATGAGTGGTATCCGAAGGTGGTAGATGGGAGAGAAAAACAGTGAAAAACTTGTTTTAAAAATAAGTAAAAATACATTTTTTGTGTCTTTAAAATTTTGAAATCAAATTTTTTTTTTTAAACGAAAATATCAAACAATTTTTTTTATTTTTTTTTTTAAATAAAAACAAAAACATTAACAAATGAGATTTTGGGCCAAACCAAACACACAAGTAGATTCTCTACCTCAAAATGATAGATTTGTGTGGGTGGAAATTAAACAACAAACTTCTGAAATACTACTCCTAATTAGAAGTTATTTAGTGGAAACTAGACAGTTGTTCAATTGGTTATGAAGACAGCACTTGTGGGTCCTATTTATGTTTAGATTTGAGTATAAAATTAAAAAAATTATAAATCAGTCCGGCCCAAATCAAATCTCATGGTTTTGTCTGATTTTCTCGATGCACGGTTCAGTTTTGAATTTTGAAATAGGTGAATCGTACTTCATAGTTCGATCCATGATTTTATAGTTACGAATCCAGTTAGAACCGAATCGGACCGTTTGAATTATATATAATTTGTTACCGAATATAAATACTAAAATATTTTATTACTATTAAATGTATATATATAAATTATAACTCCTTACTATTATAAGTATATTTTTGTATAGTGATAGAAACAATCATGTAAACAATTCTTTAGTTGTGAATAATATTTTGTGATCATATTGTAAATAATGATAATATTTTTAAAAAAAATGTTTCGTCCATTGAAATAGAGGGAGCCCGACTCTGTTAGAATGATGTGGCTGGATGACTGGCCATCATTGTCAACCCATTGTCAACTAGTGTGTCAACCGGCATCCTCCCGGATAGCCGGCCAAACAACCTCTCAAACTATCAAGATGTACAAATTCGAACAATTTGAGCGAGACCAAATTCAATGGATGTAACATTTTTATTTTAAAATATGCGGTTCCGAACCGGACCAAACCGTGATTATTAGTTCGGTTCATATTGGTTCTAAGATTTTCATGAATTGGTTTGGTTTCAAATTTGATGGAACTATAAGTAATGAATTGGTTTTGGTTTACAGCTAAACCGAACCATACTCACCCCTATCTATGATGTTTATACTATTTAATTATGATTTATTGTGATATTAATTATGACTTTATTATGATTCAGTTATGATCGAAAATGTCTTTCATTATGACTCATTATCTTTTTTAATTATGACTGAAAATAATTTAATTAACATTTATGATAAATTAATATCACAAATATTATAATTTGCATACAACACACACCCTTTTGAGGGTGTGTATTCTAGAAAGGCTCATCTATATATGCAGGAAATTCTAGCCTCATTTGAGGTGAAATAAAAAAAGTTAAAAAATATCACATTTTACATGTCAATTATTTTTATTTTTTTTCACAATTATTTATTCAACTTAAAAATAAAAAATAAAAAAACTATCTTCATCTTACAAAAAAAAACTAAAAAGTCAAAGCCACTAAAAAAAACAAAATTCCCAAAAGCGAATACTAACCTGGGTCCTATACACATATGATATAGTTATTTACTAAAAATTTTGATAAATTTTTTTATATCCTTAACGTTGCTCTTCAATATATGATAGTTAATTTACTGTAAATGAATAGAGTTCTATAGATATTCTATTTAAGGCTTCATTTAGGAAGTGGATTGGTTTTTTGATTTTTTATCTTTTTTAACTATTTTAATCTAGGGCTAAAAAGTCTAATTTGAGAAGAGCTTTTGGCTTTTTTGATTTTTTTATGAGAGAAAAAATGTAATGATTATGGATTGGATGTAATGTTTTGTCTTATTAAATTAAAAAATTTATTTTATTTTTTATGATTATTTTAACCAAAAAAGCAACAAAACCCATTTTGGAAACATAGGCTAAATATTCAAAACATACGTAGATTAATTATCTGACTGGGATAAATAAATAAGAAGAAAACAGAAAATGTCATTAGTCAAAGTGTTTAGTTTAGTTGTTCAAAAAAAAAAAAAAAAAAGAAAGAAGTTGTTTTTAGTTTAGTTGAAAACTGAAAATTGATGGCATTTAGAGGACACGTGTGTGGATGTGTGTTTGATAAGGTGGCACGTGAAAAAATTACGCCATTCGCAAGTTCGCGACTCCAGCCAGCGCTCGCCACACATGACTCGTCCTCACTGGGGGCCCCTTTGTGCCCCCACATTCTTTACTGTAACTGATTTATTTTATTTATTTATTTATTTATGTTTATTTTTTTTAAGAACATGGATTATTTGAGTTTAAAAATTAAAACAAAACATGAGGATCTATTTGGTTTGATTTTTAAAATTAAAAATTAATTTTGTTAAAAAATTAAAAATAAACAACAATCATCATTTTTATATAATTTTATCTTTTTGTTGGATAGAAATAATTTTTTTAAATTAAAAAATATTTATTTGATATTTATTTTAATCAAACTAACTTTTATTTTTTCAAAAAAAAAAAATCTAAAAAACTGTTTTTGAAAATCAAACCAAATAAGACATTATTTAGAATGGAATGTGTTGTTTAAAACAAAACATAATAGTTCAGTGTTATTTTATTTTGTTTTTTAATTTAAGTCATTAAATTATATATTTTATTAACGTGTGTCATTGCGATAAAATATATATATATATATATATTTTGTACAAAATAATGTCAAAGAAAGTCTCTAAAGAGGTCACGTAAGTGCTACATAAGAAAAAAGAAGGGGGTGACAAATTGACAATGGCAAAACTGTATTAGATTCAAAACCTAAGGATATTATGTTATGGTCCGATCAAGAGTTTTTTCTTTGGAGTGCTGGTATCAGTATTTTATAAATTATTTTGAACTTCTTAATTTTTAATTTTTTCTTATTAAAATAATAACCTCAAATAAAATTATTACAAAATACATAATTAATTTTAGAACACTCCATCTCATAATTAAACCTACACACCCACCACATCATAAATTAGGGTTTATGAGAGCACCCACCTCCATCACCACTCATCCATCCCACCTTCAAAACCTACCCACCCTCAAAACCTTAAAATCCCTTTGGCGGCAATATTCTGGCTATAACAGTGACAATCATTTGATTACCTATACTTCTCTGGCAATTCTCTGGCAATGACAATGAGTAGAAGTTTTTCTGATAACTACAACTCCGTAAGACGAGAGAAGTACAACAATAAAAATTTAGTGGAGGTTCATAGCTTTGATGTTTGTAACTCAGAAGAGATTGGCCTTGTAAGAGTAAGTTTCTTGAAAAAAATGATAAAAATAATAAAATATGTTCGTCATTTTTTCGAAATTGAACTCCCAAACATATGACCAAAATTCTGGAACACAGGACCGAACATTCTTTATTTGTTCGAAAACAGGTAACCGAATATTATTCATAAATTCAGACCTATTTTACTGATCATATTTTAAAATTTAATTTGTATTGTTATTCATTTTAGAATGATGGCGAGTTAATAGTTAAAATTTCTAACACTTATAGAAATTTTATTTTTTCAAATTCGGGAATACAGGCCTGAACATTATTTATTTGTTCGAAAACACATTCCCAAACATAACTTATTTGTTTGGGAATACAGGTCTGAACATAAAGGAAACTCGCCATTTTTGGGTACACTACAACTCTGTTTTGTTTATAGTTCTCCCTCAATTCTCACCACACACACAACCAGGCACACCGCCATAGTCCCAAGACAGAGGTAGAGAGAAAAAAAGGGAGGATATATTATGGTAGAAACGAGAGCACATGAAAGGCTATACCATGTTAAACAAGAACCGTTGATCAACAAGTCAGCATATCAGATGGCCCAAACGAGATTAAAAACAAAAAATAAAGATCTCTCTCTCTCTCTCTCTCTCTCTCTCTCTGTAGTAGTTAGTCAAAAGGCTATACCATGTTGTAGCTTATATGAATGTGGGGATATATTTTCTGAGTACCAACATGTGGCATGATGACGCCGACATGTCAGCCGAGGTGCCACGTGTCGTGGTAGTTATGCCGAG